TAGTCATAACAACAACAATAATAATATGCCCACTTATGAACTCCACTCTGTGCTGGACAATAACCAGGGGCTTTATATTTTACTGTATTAATCAGGATTCTTTGTTTCAGATGGTCAAAAATCCAATTCAAATCGGCATGTGCATAAAAGGAGATTAATGGCTTGTGTAATTAAAAAGTTCAGTGGATCCGCCCTGGCCGGTTTGGCTCAGTGGTTAGAGCGTCGGCCTGCGGTCCTGAGAGACCCGGGTTCGGTTCCCGCTAAGGGCGCGTACCTCGGTTGCAGTTTGTCCCCGGCCCTGGTGGGTTGTACTCGATATGTTCCTTTCATGTCGATGTTTCTCTCTCTCTCTGTTCCTCTCTCCCCCTCCCACTCTACCTGAACAAAGAATGGAAAAATGTCCTCGGGTGAGGATAAAAAACAAATAAATAAATAAATAAATAAAATAAAAAATTCAGTGGATCCACTTCAGGTACAGTTGGATCCAGGGACTGAAAAGATGTCATCAATATTTTGTTGTTGTCTCTTGGCTCTAATTTTGTTCTAAGAATGAGACTGTCTATTGTCCCCTCAAATCCAATCACCTTCTATGGTGATAGAACCAGTGATTTTTACCTCGTTACCCAGAGTAAAAACTGCATTTTCGGTCTCCTTTGCAGCAAAATGTGGTCATGTGACTAAGTCCTGGCCAATGAGTTGTAAAGGGAAAGGATGTGAGCAAATGCTAGGTCCTGCCCTTAAAGACAAGGGGTTGTCCTCCTCTTCCTCCTTTTCTATCTCCTGCTGTTTAGAACGAAAATGTGGCCCTGGCCGGTTTGGCTCAGCGGTTAGAGCATCAGCCTGCGGTCCAGAGAGACCCGGGTTCGGTTCCCGCTAAGGGCATGTACCTCGGTTGCAGTTTGTCCCTGGCCCTGGTTGGGTCGTGTGGGTGGCAACCACTCGATGTGTCCCTTTCACGTCGATGTTTCTCTCTCTCTCTTTCCCTCCCACTCTATCTGAACAAAATATCAAAAAAAAAAAAAAGGAAAAAAAAATAGAACAAAAATGTGGAGTGGATCATGCTGGGTCCAGTGGTTCACACCCTCTAAATCACTGAGCAACAAACTGAGACCAGGGAGCTGCCATATTGTATTGCTACTACTTGGATTGTTACAAAAGAGAGAAATAAATGTCTATCTTACTTGAACCACTATTATTTGGGTCTGTTAAAGTAGCCAAAAGAACATTTTAAGTAATATAGTCCTACTTCAAGGCAGGCTCACACCTCCTGGGGCTAGTGCCAGGCTTACATCCCACCATCTCCACCCTCCAGTGCAAGGAGAACAAACCCCTTTTTCTTAGCCAGGTCCAGCAAAAGTCCCACAGCAGATGCCTATTGTACCAACTTGCATCATGTGGCCACTCCTAAGACAGTCACTGCTTAGAGGAATGTAATATTCTAATTAGCCAGGCCTGGGTCCTGTGCCCATCCTTTGAGCTGGCAGAGAAACTTCAAAATACAGAAGTGAAGTCTGGTAGGGCACAAAAATGGAAATTACATTTGAGTGTTGTTACTAAGAGAAGAGAGAATTCTGGTGAGTGGGCAAAAAGCAAAACAAGAAAAACCCCCAACAATTCCTAGGATTCTAAACATTGTCTTTGGAGCAATAATGGGGGATATTCAGGCCCTGTCTGGGGTAAGAGAGGAGATAGAAGAATCTAAGCATCTTGTAGTGCCTGTTAAAAGACAGATTGCAGCCCTGGCTGGTTTGGCTCAGCGGTTAGAGCGTCGGCTTGTGGTCCAGAGAGACCCGGGTTCGGTTCCTGCTAAGGGCAGTACCACGGTTGCGGTTTGTCCCCAGCCCTGGTTGGTCGTGCGGGTGGCAGCCACTCGATGTGTCCCTTTCACATTGATGTTTCTCTCTCTCTCTCCCTCCCACTATCTGAACAAAAAAATGGAAAAAAATATCCTCAGGTGAGGGAAAAAAAAAAAAAAAGATTGCAGCACACAACATGCTATTTTACAGGCTTTGGCAGGGAGTTGGTGGTGGTGTGTGTGTGAGGGGTTGCTGTGAGTATTAAGACTTTAATACTAATTGGATGTAAATAACAATGTCTTGAACAAGCTTAAGCAAATAATAATTGCTATATAATGTAATATGTCAATTATATCTTAATAAAAATAAAATAATTGCTATCCTTGCTGAGTGCTTACCATGTGCCAGGCTCTGTTCTGACATAATCTATCTCTTTTAATCCTCATAATAGCCCTGTGGAGTAGGCACTATTATTTTACCCATTGTATACATGAACAACGGAGACTAGGGAGGGTTAAGCAACTTATCCAAGGTGACATGGTAAGTGCAAAGGCTGGGGTGTGATGTGCCAGAACATGTGCTTAACAACTGGACTAGTCAGCCTCCCATTATCACAGCTTACAATTTCTGCCTTTCTCTTTCTCACACACAGTCCAAATGCCAGTTTCCTGAGGAAGAGATAGATTCTCACTGAATCACTTCTGTTTTTTAAAAATGCATGGGTAGCTCTCGCCGGTGTGGCTTGGTTGGTTGAGCATCATCCCTTGCACTAAAAGGTTGTTGGTTTGATCCCTGGTCAGGGCACATGCCCAGGCTATAGGTTCAGTCCCTGGTCAGGGTGTGTATGGGAGGCAACTGATCAACACATCAATGTTTCTCTCCCTCCCTCTCTCTCCCTTTCTCTCTCTCAAATCAACAAAAACATACTAAAAATAAATAAAAGTACAGAGGTACTCAGGCACAGCTGTATCCAATGACTAACACAAGATCAACTGTATCTTTACAACTCTTAGCTGGGCTTTAATCTTTAAATATATATATATTTATATATAATATAATATTTATATAAATATATATATTTATATATTTTATCCTCACCCGAGGACATTTTAAAAAAAATATTTTTGTTTATTGATTTTAGAGAGAGAGGAAGGGAGCGGGAGAGAGATAGAAACATCAATTAGAGAGAACACTGATTGGCCACCTCCTGCATGCCTCCAATGGGGATTTGGCCCACAACCTGGGCATGTGCCCTGACTGGGAATCGAACCGGCAACCTCTTGGTGCATGGGTGGAAGCTCAACCACTGAGCCACACCAGCCGGGCCCGAGGACATTTTTTGATATTTTGTTCAGATAGAGTGGGAGGGAGGGAGAGAGAGAGAGAGAAACATCGACATGAAAGGGACACATCGAGTGATCACCACCCACACAACCAGGGCCGGGGACAAACTGCAACCGAGGTATGTGCCCTTAGCAGGAACCGAACCCAGGTCTCCCTGGACCACAGGCCGACGCTCTAACCACTGAGCAAACCAGGCAGGGAACAAATGTTTCTTGAGCTCCTACTGTTGAGCCAGTTCCTGTTCTAGGCACTGGGAACACAAAAATGAACAAAACAGACTAGTGAGAGCAGTGAATCAATAACAGAACATCATACATATTAGGTAATATTAAGCACAGGGGGTGGAAAATATAATAAGCCATTTAAGGGTGATGGGGAGTGTGGGATGGGAGTGTTGCTATTTTAAGTAGGATGATCAGAGAGGGCTTCATTTGAGGAGGTGACATGGAGGAGAGGCCTGAATAAAGTGGAGGAGCCACCCCTGATATTTAGAGAATATCAGGCAGAGGGAACAGCCAGTGCAAAAGCCCATGTTAACTTCACCATGTGGCAATTTCTTCCCTTCAGGAAAAGATGTCCGTAGTTACTCCACCTGTCCACCTTGTTGCCCAACAGAAAATGATATCCCTCTTTCCTAGTAAGGCCAAGTAAAGTCCCAGGATGAAAGCTCATGGATTACATTTGGATCACATGCCCACTCTGAACCAATCACTGTGCTCCAGGGAATGGAGCTTTTAATTGGCTGATCTGGGGCAATCAGGTAAGTATCACCCCTCCCCAGGCACATACTTCTGTGAGGTGTTTACCCCAGTTTAAGCTCAGCCCAAGCAAATAGCTTTTATAGTTTGTTCTATGATTACTTTCCACATTATTAAAAGAACTGTCACTTCTTGTAAAATAAAATCCTGAGTATACAAATATAAACTAATTTTTTAAATAAATAAATAAATAAATAAAAATATCACAGCCCTGGCCGGTTTGGCTCAGCGGTTAGAGTGTCGGCCTGCAGTACAGAGAGACCCAGGTTCGGTTCTCGCTAAGGGCACGGTTGTAGTTTGTCCCCAGCCCTGGTTGGTTATGCGGATGGCAGCCACTCGATGTGTCCCTTTCACGTTGATGTTTCTCTCTCTCTCTCTCTCCCTCTTTCCCCTCCCACTCTATCTGAACAAAAAAATGGAAAAATGTTCTCGAGTGAGGATAAAATAAAAAACAAACAAAACAAATATCTCCAGAATATATATAATTTTACGAATATAGAATCATATCCTACATACTACCTGGCAGCACTACTTAGCATTGTGCAAACGCAACAGCTAGTCACTATCAAAATTCTTTTTTAAAATATTTTTTCTTTATTGATTTTAGAGAGAGAAGAAGGGAGAGGGAGCAAGAGATAGAAACACTGATGAGAAAGAACATCAATTGGCTGCCTCCTGCATGTCCACTGGGGATCGGACCCACAATCTGGGCATTTGCCCTGACTGGGAATTGAACCAGCGACCTCTCAGTGGATGGGTCAATGCTCAACCACTGAGCCACACCAGCTGGGCTACAATTATTCTTTATTCCTTACCCAGACTGAGAAGAGATGTTGATTAACATGATAATATCAATAGCTTGCATTCTTGGAATGTTTGCTATATGCCAAGCCAATTTTTACAGATGAAAAGGCTGAAGCTCAGATAAGGTAGGTCACCTGTCCAGGGTCACACAACAAGAAACTATTTCTGAGGCAGAAACCGGAGGTGTTCCCTCCCCCCCCCCCCAGCTGCAGCGGGGGCCCTAGAGGGCCCCTGCCCCCTCCCGTGGGGCCTGGCTGGGATGCCACCTCCCGCTTATCTCAGTCCAGGCTGACTGCTGGTCCCGCCCCCTCAGGGAAGCTGCCACTTGGAGGTGGCTGGCCGGGAAGGGCCTGGTCAGCTGTGTCCGGCGGAGGCAGCTGCTGACCCAGCTGTGAACTGTACCAGAGGTGGAGGAAGCATAGTGCAGGAGCTCTGAGCCCCCTCGGTGGGGGCTGCATCATGGATCACCTTGGAATGCCCCTCTGGCCTGGAGTCGGCTCCCTCTGTCTCTTGCTCACCGGGGCCGCCTTGGCTCCCCCTCCTAACTCCCCGGGCCCCAAGTTTGAAAGCAAAGGTAAGAAAGGATGGAGCTGTGTGTGGACCCCCACACTGGGTCCTGGAGGCAATCCTGGGGCCTGAACTTCCAGCCTGGGTCCAGGGGATGAAGCTGGTGTCTGAACCCGGGTTCTGATGAGGCATGCCAGGTCTAAGTCCCCAGACTGGGTTCTGAAGAGAGCATTGGAAAGAGACGTAAGGTTCCTGTTTTATCTTTTTTTTAAAAAAAAATCCTCATCCGAGGACATTTTTCCATTTTTTTGTTCATATAGAGTGGGTGGGAGAGAGAGAGAGAAACATCGACGTGAAAGGGACACATCGAGTGGCAGCCACCCACACAACCAACCAGGGCTGGGGACAAACTACAACCGTGCCCTTAGCGAGAACCGAACCCGGGTCTCCCCGGACCGCAGATCAACGCTCTAACCGCTGAGCCAAACCCCCAGGGCATTATCTTTTAAGGGAGCCTGGGACATGCTACATCCTAATGGGGCAGTAGTGGTGCTGGGTCTGGGTTCCCCGATCTGGAGTCCCTGAAGGGAGAGGACCTAGTGGACCCTCCAGTGAGGGAGGGAGGAAAAAGCCCGGGTCCGAGTCAGAGGGGACGGGCCGCAGGCAACTGTAAACACGGTTTGCATGCGGGCACCAGATCCCTCGGGCCGCTGGGTTGCGGGAGGGGCGGGGGGCACGGTTGGCGCTATCGAGAGGCCCGGAGCCTGCCGGATCCGATAGCGGGCCGCGCCGCCTCCACACACACCCACAGGCTCGCTTGTCCTGGGCTGGGGCAAGCCAGGCAGCGGGAGACGGAGGCCTTGAACGCTGCGCTCAGTTCAGTGGGTTGCGGGATGGACGGGTATGGGTGGGGGCAACAGTAAGGCAAGTAACCTGAGCTTGGGAGTTCGGGAGGCACCACCTCTGCCTACCCCTCCGGGGCCCCGCTGGGGTAGAGAGCTGGGTGGGGTTTTTGTCTTATCAGTCCGCACAGGCGACGGGAAAGAGGGGGAGGGCTCTGTGGTCCGAAAACAGGGCTCCGCTCCCCTGACCCCTTCCCTTCGCTCCCCCCCCCCCCCACCCGCAGCGGCCCTGCTGGCGGCCCACGGGCCCAAAGAGCTTCTGTGCTTCACCGAGCGGTTGGAGGACTTGGTGTGTTTCTGGGAGGAAGCGGCAAGCGCCGGGGTCAGCCCCGACAACTACAGCTTCTCCTACCAGCTGGAGTGAGTCCGACGGGGCAGGCGTAGCGTCGCCAAGGGTGGAGGGGGCTGGCGGACGTGGTCGGGGCCGAGGCCGGTTGGCACCTCCTCTGCTAGTGGGAAACCCTCGGTGTCAGAGCTGACACCTCCCCTAGTGGCCGAGGCTGGAACACTCCGGTGATCCCCGGTGGAGCGCGACCCCAAACATTAGGGCTGGAACAACCTCTAAATCAGGTCCAAGGTGTCGCGTACGTGGGTCTGGGACGCCCCCTCGTGTTAGTGAACAAAATGAACCCATAGTCCAGTCAATACCTCTCAGCTAGCTCCCTTCGCTCCCCGGTCCCTGGGCACACAGGGGTGAGCAGTGGAAGCGGTGCCGCCTGCACCAGGCGCCCGCAGCTCGCGGAGCGGTGCGCTTCTGGTGCTCGCTGCCTACGGCCGACACGTCGAGCTTCGTATCCTTAGAGCTGCGTGTTACAGCTGCCTCATCGGGTGCTCCACGCTACCGCCGTGTCATACAGATTAACGAAGTGGGTGAGTTCGCCGGGAATGGGGGAGTGGTTGGGAGGGGAGTCTCCGTCTCCACCTACTTGAGCTACCCTTCTTGGTAGTGCTCCTGGACCCCCCTGCGGGGCTAGAAGCGCGGCGGGCTGACGAGGGCGGCCATGTGCTACTACGCTGGCTCCCACCTCTTGGGGCCCCCATGGCGAGCCTCATCCGCTATGAGGTGAACATCTCCGCAGGGAGCGCCGCAGGGAGCCCGCAGAGGGTGAGGTTCGCCCCTACTGCTCATCCCCAAGTCTCCCCCAAAGGTCCAACCCCTCTAATTCTCGCCAAGACTGTCACCACGGCCCCGCCCCTCCAGGTTCCGCCTCTGACTCTAGACATCCCATTTGCCCTAGCGCCCCTGACAGCTCCTAGACCACTGACATGGTCCCTTTCTCACTGCCTCCCCAGCCCACCTTAATCCTTGTCCCAAATCCTAGACCACCTTCAGGGCCCGCTCCCTCCATGCTCTGGCCCCTCCGTCTACCCGGGGCCCCATCCTGACTGGCCCCGAGCCTTCCTGGCCCCCGCCTACTTTTCACATTGCCCCTTGGGCGCCATCCTTCTTTCTCTAATTGACCCGCCCTCCCTGCCGGTGCCTGTTCTCCCGGCCTGTAATGGCAACGCCTCTTACCTGGGCCCGCCCGCAGGTGGAGATCCTTGATGGCCGCACTGAGTGCGTGCTGAGCAATCTGCGGCGCGGAACGCGTTACACTTTCATGGTACGCGCACGTATGGCAGAGCCGAGCTTTGATGGCTTCTGGAGCGCTTGGTCGGAGCCCGCATCGCTGCTGACAGCGAGTGGTGAGGCCCCTGGTAGGGATGAAAGAGGGGTTGGGGCTGAACGTGGGGCAAACCCACTGCCTTGACCTATTCCTGGCTCTCCAGAACTGGACCCGCTCATCCTGACACTCTCCCTCATCCTCGTGCTCATCCTGCTGTTGCTGGTCGTGCTCGCTGTCCTCTCCCACCGCCGGTGAGCATCCCATTGGGGCATCTGGCCCAGACCCCTCCCCACCACCGTCCCCTCTTTCGTTGTGGAAACCTAGGCTCAGAGAGGCAGGCACCTGCCCAAGGTCACACAGTGAGGAGTTAATGGCAGGGCTGGGACGCAAGGCAGACCAGACCTCAGTTAAAATTTTCTGCTCTTGCCCTGGCCAGTTTGTCTCAGCAGTAGAGCTTCGTCCCATGGATCAATGAGTCGCGGGTTTTATTCCTGCCAAGGGCACGCACCTCCGTTGTGGTTTGTCCCTAGCCCTGGTCGGGGTCCTGTTGGGGGCAACCAGTTGATGTCTCTCTTACATCGATGATTATCTCTCTCCCTCCCACTCTGAAAATAAATGAAAAAATATCCTGGGGTGAAGATTTTATTTTATTTATTTATTTATTTTTTTTATCCTCACCCAGGACATTTTTCCATTTTTTGTTCAGGTAGAGTGGGAGGGAGAGAGAGGAACAGAGAGAGAGAGAGAAACATCGATGTGAAAGGAACACATCGAGTGGCTGCCACCCGCACAACCGACCAGGGCCGGGGACAAACTGCAACCGAGGTACGCGCCCTTAGCGGGAACCGAACCCAGATCTTTCAGGACCGCAGGCGGACGCTCTAACCGCTGAACCAAACTGGCCAGGGCGGGGTGAAGATTTTAAAAAAGAAAAAGATTCTGCTCTTGGGGACAGTCATCTAGTTTTCCTTTTTCAGATTCCTTTTAAAGTTCCTTTTTCCAATTTCATCAAGTTTTTTTTTTTATTCTCACCCAAGAACATCTTTTTTTTTTTGCATTTATCTTCAGATAGAGCAGGAGGGAGAGAGAGAAACATCAAGAGGTTGCCACCGACATGACTCTAAGGGGGGGGGGGGGGGGGGGACAAACTGCAACCGAGGTTTGTGCCTCGTTCCGCAGGCCCATGCTCTAACCAATGAGCCAAACTGGCCAGGACTTCATCAACTTTTGTAAAGTCAATGAGATGGGCTTAATGGAAAGATTTAAGCCCCTGAGGGTCTTCTTGTCCCTGTTGTAAAGTTCTTCAGATGCTTTATAAGACCATCCATCCTGAGGCCTGAGGTTTTTGTAATTCTAAACACATACCATGTAGTTCCACACCAAGCTTTGGCACATGCTGTTCCTTCTGCCTGGAATGCTTTTCCTGCCTTGTCTGCTCAGCAAGCTCCTAGTTGTCTTTAAAGGCCCTGTTCATTTATTTTGTTAGAAAATACATATTGTCAACTATGTGTTAGGCACAGAGGAGAAAGTGGAGAATAAGCCAGACGTGTCTCTGACCTTGTGGATCTCATAGTTGAGTCAGACAACAAACAAAGGAACCGACAGATATTTTATTATAAATTGTGATGAGTGATATTGCAGAAACACATGGGATATTGGGGACATGACAGCATGGTTAGGGAAAACCTCTGAGAAGTGACATCAGAGAAAATCTGAAAGTTGGAAGGAAGCAGTCATCAAAAGCAGGAAGAAGAGCTCTGGCCAGTTTCGCTCAGCAGTTGAGGACCAGAGAGTTGGCCTGTGGACCAGAGAGTCCCGGGTTCGGTTCCCGCTCGGGGCACGTACCACACACACACACACAAAGGCAGGAAGAAGAAACAATTATGCAAAGGCCCCGAGGTGGTAATAAGCTTGGAATATTGAAGAAGCTGCAAGAAGAGCTCTGTGACTAGAGCAGAGTATGTAAAGAGGGAGTGGTGGATGATGAGGTGAATGAAGTAGTAAGAGTGAAAATATGCAGGGTTGTATGCAGGGCTGTGGGAAAGAGATTGGATTTTATTCTGAATGCATTGGGAACCATGGGAAGGAGTGAGAGAAGGGACATAATGAACCTCCAGGCAAGCCTGGGCCAGGTTTAGAGGGGCATGAGGCGATATGTTTTGAACTCTTATACATCCTTCATAACTGTTTCAGTTGCCATTCTTTAGAGCCCTACAGATGCTTCAGCCAAAGCCCTTGCTCTCCATCCCTTGTGCACTCCCCTGCCTTCATCACAATCACCAGGGGCTAAGAGTATCTGTGCCCCTGGGACTGGATACAGAGGGGATATAGGCATGCTCAATGACACATGCCCATGTACTTGTTTCTTTGGTTTCATCAGGGCTCTGAAACAGAAGATCTGGCCTGGCATCCCAAGCCCTGAGAGTGAGTTTAAGGGCCTTTTCACCACCCACAAGGGTAACTTTCAGGTAGGTGCCTGGTTGTCCCCTCAGGGCCTGTGGCTTCCCTGCCCCTGCAGCCAAACTCCAGGTCTCTGAACCAGCTGGTACTGTTTCCCCAGCTGTGGCTGTATCAGAACGATGGCTGTCTGTGGTGGAGCCCCTACACCCCCTTTGCAGAGGCCCTACCCACCCCCCTAGAAGTCCTTTCTGAACGTTCCTGGGGGGTGACACAAGCAGTGGAGCCAGGAACAGATGATGAAGGGCCCCTGCTGGAGCCAGTGGGCAATGAGCATGCCCAGGACACCTACCTGGTACTAGACAAGTGGTTGCTGCCCCGGACTCCACCCAGTGAGGACTCCCCACGGCCTGGTGGTGGTTTGGACATAGCAGCCATGGATGAAGGCTCAGAAGCATCCTCCTGCTCATCTGTGTTGGCCCTGAAGCCAGAGGGAGCCTCGGCTGCCAGCTTTGAGTACACCATCCTGGACCCCAGCTCCCAGCTTTTGTGCCCAAGGGCACTGCCCCCTGAGCTGCCCCCCACCCCACCCCACCTAAAGTACCTGTACCTCATGGTGTCAGACTCTGGCATCTCAACTGACTACAGCTCAGGGGGTTCCCAGAGGGCCAAGGAGGGCTCATCCAATGGCCCCTATTCCAACACTTATGAGAATAGCCTTGTCCCAGCCTCTGAGCCGTCACCTCCCAGCTTTGTGACCTGCTCCTAGGACTCTAGCCCTCAGATGCTTGGGAACTCAGCATGACCTCAAGTGCCAACAATGGATGGCCCAAGACCAATCTGGCAGGGTCGGTGAGGCCTCACTCAGGACTAAGGGCATTTCTGACCTTGGCTATGTGCCTAATCCATCCACCTATCCTACTCAGGAAGTCACAACCTTGCAGTATTTTTAAATGTATAGTTTTTATATGTGTGTGTATACACATATATATTGGTATACATATTTATACATTTGTATTTATATACAAATGTGTGTGTGTGTGTGTATATATATATATATATATTTACAATACCTATATATATTGCTGCCCCTATGGCTCAGGCCATAGAGGGAGCAGTATAAAAGGCTGTGAGCTCAGTCTGAAATTCAGTACCTGGAAATCTGAATAATAATCATAATAAAATGAATTAGCCACTATAAGTTACACTAGCTGCTATAACAAACAACTTCTAAATCTGAGTGGCTTAACACAATTAGTAGTTTCTCTCATATCTCAATTCAAACAAGTAGGCAGCTATCCCTGAGATGAGTCAGAAGCCCAGACTCTTCATGTCTGTAGCTTTACCATCCTCCAAGGTCACTCTGGGGTCTTTAAATATATTTTTTTATTGAGTTTAGAGAACAAGGAAGGGAGAGGGAAAGAGAGGCAGAAACATCAATGACAGAGAACATCGATTGGCTGCCTCTTGCATGCCCCCCACTGGGGATCGGGCCCACAATCTGGGCATGTGTCCTGATTGGGAATTGAACTGGTTGACTTCTTGGTGCATGGGTCGATGCTCAACCAGTGAGTCACACTGGCTGGGTGACCCTGGGGGCTTTAGATGGATTCTCTGCATCCAACTAGCCAGCAAATAAAGGGAGAGAGATTCCGTGGGCTATTTTAGGCATCTAGCCTAGAAGCGGGCTCCATCTCTTCACAAATTCCATTAGCCAGAAATGGTCACGTGACTCCAGCTAGACCTGTGGCTAGAAAATGTAGTTTAGCTGTGCACCCAGGGAGAGGAAATCTGTTTAATGGCCTCTAGCTTGTCTCTGCCACTAATAAAACAACAGTTCATAGGACTTTATTCTATGTCAGGCCACATCTAAGAAAGCATTCTGATAACACCAAATTTCATCAAGTGGCTCAATGGCAGTTCAAGTTTAACCACTTTTTATTATTTTTATCATCATTATTATTTTTTAAAATCCTCACCTGAGGGTATGTTTTTCATTGATTCTAGAGAAGCGAGTGGGAGGGAGACAGAGAGAGAGAGAGCACAACATCAATCGTCTCCTGTACACACCCCAACCAGGGATCAAACATGCGACCCTTTGGTGCACAGGATGACAGTAACCAACTGAGCCACACTGACCAGGGCAAGTTTAACCACCTTTTCAAAGTCGAACATAACTTTCGAAAGCTGAATATATGCATACATTCTCTGCAGCAATTCCACTTCTAGGTATATAGCCTAAAAAGCTTCACACACATACAACAGGACATGTGTGCAAGAATGCTCATAGGCCCTGGCCGGTTTGGCTCAGCGGTTAGAGCGTCGGCCTGCGGTCCGAAGAGACCCAGGTTCGGTTCCCGCTGGGGGCACGTACCTCGGTTGCAGTTTGTCCCCGGCCCTGGTTGGGTCGTGTGGGTGGCAGCCACTCGATGTGACCCTTTCACATCGATGTTTCTCTCTCTCTCCCTCCTACTCTATCTGAACAAAAAATAGAAAAATGTCAAAAAAAAAAAAAAAAAAAAGAATGCTCATAGCAGTAAATAAGATAATCTGATGGATAATTTGGGGTATAGCCACCCATGGAATTATTTGCAGTAGGAAAAAAAAAAACAACTAAAAAATGTGGCTGATTCTTACTAACAATTTGACAAGGAAAAGAAGGAAGTCTCAGAGATTATATTTCTCATAAAACTTTTTATGACGTTCAAAACAAAAAAACTAAATAATATGTTGATAAAGTCAATATATACATGATAATGCTATTTTTTAAAATATGTTTTTATTGACTTTTTTGAGAGAGAGAGGAAGGGGGAGAGAGAGAGAGAGAGAGAGAGAGAGAGAGAGAGAGAAATATCGATGAGAGAGAAATGATGATGGGCTACCTCCTGCAGGCCCCCTACTGGAAATCAAGCCCAAAACCTGGGCATGTGCCTGACTGGGAATCAAACGGGTGACCTCTTGATGCATGAGATGATGCTCAACCAACTTAGCCACACCAGCCAGGGTGATAATCCTATTTTTATTTGTTTATTGTTGTAAGTATTACAGATATCCCTCATTTTTTCCCCTATTACCCCCTCCTCCCAGTTCTCTCCCCAGGGCTTCACCACTCTGTTGTGTGTCCTTGGTTTATGCATATAAATAATGCTATTTTTAAAAGAGAAAAAGCACTTTACATTCTTTAGGTTTTTTAATCTGTATATGGCCCCGAGGTAAATATTCCAGCCATGGGAAACAGGCATAGAGAGGTGGTCACACACCAAAGCTCAAGCAAGGCTGGCCTCCACAGCTTGAACTCTTGTCTGACCTGGGGTCTCCTGCCTGAGTAGGCCATGGGGTGATTCTCATCTCTCCATCTGGTTGGAAAGCCACACACCACTCTTCCCTAGGGCCTAGCCCACCTGGCTCCAGGCAGGCTCTGAAGCAGCGATGTCCTGAGCCTGGTGCAGTTCGCTGCAGCCAGCACTGGGCGAGGAAATACTTCTGGAGAAGTGACAGCTGCAGAGCATCCCCACTGTCTCCTTCCTCCTGGGTCTGGAGGGCCACAATGAGCCCACAGCCTCGGCCGGGCCCAACCTGGTGGCTGAAGTGGGCAGCTGTGTCCAGAAGCAGGGCAGCCAAGTAGGCAGCTTCCTGGGGCTTGAGGTCTTCAGCTAGGTACTCCTCCAGGCCATCAATCAGCAGAAGGAAGGGGGCTGGCCCTGGGGCCTCATGGGCAGAGCACAGGAGCCGGAGGAGCTCATGGGTTGAGGGTGGGTATTGGAAACGGATCTTCTAGGGAGGAAAAAAATGAAAGGGCCAGATTCAGCATAGGAAGCCAGGCTCCCAGCTTTAACAGCCTTGCTTCCTTGCATATTTTCCTGGGCGAGGCTCTCACTCCCCAAACAGCTGGTTCCAGAGTGAAGCAGCTCAGAGTGATCGAATATATTCTATTTGCCTGCCCCCCGCTCCCCCGACACACACTTTTATTATCTGCCACTCATCACCGCTTGGTATTAGTTCAGAACAAGGTATGTCTGGGGGGGGGGGGAGTTTAAGCGATAGTGGCAAGATTATAATGAAAAGAGATAGTACGCCCTCAATACAAGGTATGTCTTTCTACAGTCTCTAGAGCAATCTTTCCACACAAAACCTATCCCTAGCCTTTCCAGGCCCCATCATTGACTCTGGCTTCCCCGGAACCAACTCGTGTCCTGACAACCAGAGTTAGTCCCGCACCTACTGGCCCTGAACCGACCCTTTGGGCACCGCCTTTCGCTAACTCCGCCCCTTCATTGGATAGTCTCACTCGATTTTAAGCCCTCACATGTCCCGCCCCCGACTAATTCCTGACTCCCCTCAAGGATGGCTGTTCCGGCTTGTCCTTCCTTTGTCCCCTCCATTGGTCTGACTACTTGTCATTCAATCCTCGATCCGCCCCGCCACCGGCTGGTCCGCTTCGGGTTCCGTCTCCCTGTTACCTGTAGACGCAGGGGGTCGAGCGCCGCCGGCGTCCGGCGGGGCAGGCTTTGCAGAGGCCTCCGGGTCAGGAAGAGCACAGGGCCTCGGCCCTCCCCTGCCGCCTCCAGGGCCGCCGCGAATAGCAGCGCAGTCTTTCCAGACCCCGGACCGCCGAGCAGCAGTAAAGGTGGTCCAGGCTCAGCTGCAATATCCTCCCCGGGCCCGGCCGCCCTACCAGAGCTTAGCACCCGCCTCAGCGTCTCCGCCATCAACAACGTACCACTGTCCAATAAGTGGCCCCTCCCTGCCCTTAGTCCCGCCCCAGCCAAGCCCTCTTTGGTTACAGTGCATGTAGCTTCTCCATTGGTCTATGGATCTGTCCATCAGAGTTCCTCTTTTGCTATTTCCTACGCTGGAGAAAGGGCGATTAACCTAGTCTGAGGGAGGGATGGGACGTTTGAGGGGAAAAGGACCCCTCCCTCAGCTTGAGTCTGCTGAAGAAAGCAGTACGAATACTGTTATTGTTAGCTACTCAGCTAAACAGACAAATGTAAGTGTTGAAAGTTGGAGGGAGCAGACTCTCCTGAATCAGTGACACTGAAATCTCCTAGCCTCAATTTGCTCACCTGTGAAATGGAACTCATGATATCGCGGAGGAATATTGCGATAGACATGTGCCTATGTTTCTGCTGATATCACCCAGTGACGATTGAGGAGAGATGGAGAAGCCGTGTACTTCTCTCTGCGTCTCAGTACTGGCACAAGTGTCCGTCGAGGGCAGCAGGCCCAGGGACATTTGTGAGCAAAACATCAGAAGCTGTCTCTGAGGGTCTGTGAGGAATTTCAGCTGGCTTCCTCACTGGCCTGGGGATCCTTAGATCCTGCTAGAGGTAAGGAGGTAGGGGGAAACAGCACCACGAACAATGAAGGGGCCAGGAGAAACAAAGAAACAGGCTGGGAGACTGGGACATTTTTTGCTTTGTTCACTTGGTAACTCCAGCGCCCAGAACATTGACTAGCTCATTGTAGATTCTCAACTTACAGGGTGGGGCAAAATAGGTTTACAATGGTGAGTATGCGAAACATAGTTTATTCTTGTATTATTAATTATTGTATTATTATCCATATGAACAACTGTGAACCTACTCTTGCCCCACCCTATATGCTCGTTAAATAAATGAGTGGAAAAAGGAAGGCAGAATTGGTGAGACGCTGGGAGAGAAGGAGGAACAAGGCACCTGTACCTGCAAAGGCCCTGAGTGATCAAGTGATGGCAAACGGGCTCTTCACCCAGACTTTGCCCCAGTGCTGCCACTCACGGCCCTGTTGCCCTGGCAACTCTGTTTCCTGGTAACTTAAAAGTAGTGCTGTTGCCAGGAGACCGCGGGGCAGGTCGGAATTGAGATATTTCCTAGGCTTTCTTTTTCCCTCTGGGACCAGAACACAGCTCCACAAGGTCCCCCCAATACACCCACTCACACAGGCGGGTATCCCCACATCCCTACACACACACACACACACACACACACACACACCATGGCATCTCTGGATATATTCCACTTTCAGAATCCCCATCACCCACATGCTCAGAGCCCTATCCTATCCCGACACAAAGCATCCCATACACACTCTCTCCTACCTTCACACCCCTACACATGTCCCTTGCACACATACTAGAACACACTGATACAACCATACCATTGCCACCATGCACAGAGACATGTTTCCTTTCAGCTGATATTCCTGCAGCTCCTTCTACATGCACACACACACATTTCCTTTTAGCTGATGTACTTGCAGCTCTTTATTTACACACTCAGAGATGAGATACACTGTTACACTGCCTTGTCAAAAGCACCACCTCAGCCCTCCTAACAGATACACAAACCATGACTCACCTCACTTTGTAACACCTCACTTTACAAGCACCTAGTAGTGATGCCCATATCACAGTTTCATACATTGAAGCACCCTGAACACAGCCCCACCTCAGGTCTCTTGCATTTACTGTTCCCCTGCCTAGAACACCCAGCTCCCAGATAGCCCTGTGGCTCGTTCTCCCACTCCATTCAGGTATCTGCTTAAATATCACTTACTCAGAGAGGCTTTCCCTGACCATTCATGTAAGATTGCACCTGCTTCGCTTGTTAACTGCTTGTCTGCCTTTATGTATCTTCAAATAACTTGTAACTTCTAATGTTATGTATTTATTTTATTGTCTCTCTCCCCACTAGAATGTCAGCTCAACCAAGGTAGGGTCTTTCTTTCTTTTTTTTAATCCTCACCTGAGGACATTTTTCCATTTTTTGTTCAGATAGAGTGGGAGGGAAAGAGAGAGAGAAACATCGACGTGAAAGGAACACATCGAGTGGCTGCCACCTGCATGACCAACTGCAACCGAGGTACGTGCCCTTAGCGGGAACCAAACCCCAGTCTCTCTGAACCGCAGGCCGATGCTCTAACCGCTGAGCCAAACCGGCCAGGACAAGGTAGGGTCTTTCTTTTGTTCACTGCTGGATCCCCAGCTACTAGAAGAGCACCTGGCATAAATGTAGGCTCAGTACGTTGGCAGAGATGCAGGCATATCCCTCATGCATACAGTACTTCTGTCTCAGAATCCTGTCTTCATGTCCTTACAGAAGGACACTTAACATAGAGGAGGTCTCTGGAGGGGGGAGGACTGATGGGTGAGGGGATGGGAAAGTGGACGGCTCAGGGACAGTCTGTGCTTCTCCCTCACATTTCAACACCCTCAAGATGCCCTGGCCCATTTTGCTCAGTGGTTAGAGCATCAGCCCATTGACCAATGAGTCGCAGGATTGATTCTGCTCAAGGGCGTGTACTTTGGTTGCGGTTCAACCCCAGCCCTGGTCGGGTCTTGAGGGAGGCAACCAGTCTATGTGTCTCTCTCACATTGATGTTTCTCTCTTTCTTTCTCCTTCCCTCCCACTCTACCTGATGATAAATAGAAAAATATCCTTGGGTGAGGATTTAAAAAATAAAATAAAATAAAATAAAATAAACCCTCAAGTTAATTTATTTAACTATTGTTGAGCCCCTGCTGTGTGCCAGGCCTGGTTTTGGGCACTGGGAACTCAGTAGTGAACAGATGACAAAGTCTCTGCCTGAGTTGACATCTCTTATGAGGGAGAAGATAATGACCACTAAGCACAATGAGGAATTTAAATAGTCTATAAGCAGATGTTAAGTGCATGCAAAAAGTTTACACAGGGAAGGAAAGTTGGGAGGACCAATTGTTTGGTTGTTTTTACAATTCTGAATAGAGTGGTAGGGGAAGACCTCATTGAGAAGTTGACAGTCGAGAAAAGGCTTGAAGGAGGTGATATATCATGCAGATATCTGGGGGAAGAATATTCCAGGTGGAGGCACTTGGACCTGCAAAGGCCTGGAGGCATTGGGAGAACTTTGGCTTCTACATAGAGTGTCATGGGGATCCACAAAAGGATTTGAGCAGAGGAGTGTTATGGTCGGATTTACATTCTCTTTTTTTTCTAATCCTCACCAGAGGATATTTTTCCATTTATCTTCAGATAGAGTGGGAGGGAGGAAGAGAGAGATATCGATGTGAGAGAGATACATCGATTGGTTGCTTTCTGCACGACTCCAACCAGGACTGGGACCGAACTGCAACTAAGGTACGTGCCCTTGACTGGAATCAAACCCGTGACTTTTTGGTTCGCAGGCTGATGCTCTAACCACTTAGCAAACCGGCCAGGGCTGATTTACATTCTATGTCAGAGCTCCGTTTTTGTGGAGTTGAGTTTGAGATGTTATGAGACCCATGGGGGCATGTCAAGCTTTTCAATAGCCAGTACATCTTAGTCTAGATTCTCTACCTAAGATTATCCATCCTGGGATGGAGATATGGGCAAGGCCCAGGCTGCTGCCACCACCCTCTCTAGCGGTCCCAGACACTTCTTTGTGTCCTGCAGCCCCCATTTTACCTTTTCTTGTCGCATGCTTAACATCAGTACCGTGGACAGCTCCAACTAGGTTGGCTGGGGTGCTGTCCACCGTGCTGAAATTTTGCTTCCATACTGACCTGCGTGGAGGCTGCTGTGCCACAGGAGGAACGTAAGACCCTGGAAACGGGAGTTCTGGCCGGTGACGCAGGGGCGGGGGGTCAGTGCTTCTGTCCTTTCTCTTCCTTCAACCCTTTAATGCTACCATCTCATTCCCTGCAGTCCACAATCACGCCCACTACCTCCCCCCCATTTATTCTGTTCCAGCCACACAGATCTTCACACTGTTCCCTGAACATAGCAGGCACCCTCCCACCTCAGGGCCTTTGTGCTTGCCCTTCCTTCTGCCTAGTGATGCTCCTCCCACCACCCCTGGTATTTTAATGGGCCCCTCCCTCCTCTCCTTCACACCTCATCTCCAGTACCATCTCCTCAGAAGGAACTTTTCTAACCACTCACTTTAAATTGCAAACTGTGTCTCTATCCCACAGTTGTCCCACTGTCTTCTCTAGCTTGAGTTTGCTCCTTGTCACATCAATATCTAACATATCAGAGATCCCAATCCCTGACCTAAATCTGTGATCCTAGGGTTTAGAATTCAGAATTTTTTGGGTTTTCAAAAATCACTATGGTGTAAATACTATGTGTGGCATAACACCCTTGGTGGAGTCTGGGATAACATCTCAAAATCAAACACTTTATCATCAAAAAAACATAAGAATGTTCACATCAAGTTAAATAAATAAAAGCTATAATAACCTCATGTCCATTCAGGTCAGGTTTTGTTTTTTTTTATCCTCACCCGAGGACATTTTTTCCATTTTTTGTTCAGGTAGAGTGGGAGGGAGAGAGAGGAACAGAGAGAGAGAGAGAAACATCGATGTGAAAGAAACACACCGAGTGGCTGCCACCCACACGACCCAACCAGGGCCGGGGACAAACTGCAACCGAGGTACGCGCCCTTAGCAGGAACCGAACCCGGGTCTCTCAGGACTGCAGGTCGACACTCTAACCGCTGAGCCAAACCGGCCAGGGCTCAGGTCAGGTTTTTGCCACAGATGAATTATGAAAAAAAATTTTGGTTTACAGACCTTTTTAAAAGTTGGAATTGTAGTTCTGTATATAGCTTATGTATCTTGTTTATTGTTTGTCTCTTATGTATTAGAATGTGAGCTCCATCAGGGCAGAAATTTGTGCCTGTTCTGTTAACTGCTACAGCCCCTGTGTTTAGCCACACGGTACCTGGCATACAGTACATGCTCTCTAGTGTTTGTTGAATGAATGAATGAACGAATGAACGAATGAATGAATGAATGAAAGGAAAGCAGCTGCCCTTTTCCTAGTCCCTGGATAAATCCTGTCTGAAGTCCCTTAGAGCCATGGTGGGGGGCTTGTGTCTATGTTTCCCTGCCCCTTCTACTCTCCCTGGTTTCTGCTGGGTTTTCTGCACAACCTCACAATCAGAACCCCTGCTTTCATCCATGCATTCAGGGGTTTGGCTTTGAGGTTCCTACTGTCCTCAGCATCCCCCTTCACTATCAGGACCTTGAGCCCCCTGACCCTATTCCCTCTGCACTGTGGCCATGGTCAAAAACAGGCCAGCTGCCTGGGGAAGACAGGCATGTGAGGCCCCTCATTGTGGGTTTGTTGCCCTACATGTGGCTTGTGGGTCTGTATTTCACATGAAGAAACAAGGGCACAGAGGTTAATTAACTTTCCTGAGGCCAAGAAATGCTGAGCCAAGATTTAAACCCAAGTTGCTGGCTCTCACTGCCTTTCCACAATTGCACTCAGATACTGTAAGAATACACCCACACTCAGCCTCACCCGATACCTAGACCCTCAATTAAAGTCCTCCACACTCCAATAATCAGGGAAGAAAGGCATGTGGCCAAACTTCTGTTACAAACAGGTTTTTATTAAAGATGAGGAGGGGGCAGGAAAGGGAATTAGTGTCTCCTCTGCCCACTGCCTTTGGCTGCCCTCAGGGATAGGGAGCCCTCTTTGCTCCACCCATGCCCCCATGATAGCACATCTGCATGAGGCTGAGGGATGGGGGCAGTGTGAAGAACAGGGGTAGGTTCCAAGGGGGGGGGTCCTTTCTCACAGCCCTAATAAATAACAGAAGGGTTTGGGGTGACCTGGGCATTGGCAAAGGAAGACAGCACCCTGAACCACAAAATCTCTGAACTGGACAAGCCCTGCATAAGTAGAGAGAGAGGAGGGACAAGGTGAGAGGGTGCACATGGTGGAGGGACTGAGAGGGCACCAAGGACCCTGCCATGGGGGAGCCTGCCCCCCACCCTCTGGCTGGATTCTGATCCTGAGGAAAAAAGACTCAGTTACAAAGGATGAACCCATCTCCCTCCTCAATTTTGCACATGCTTAGACATGGGCGGTCCCCCATTATCTGGAATCATACCCACCCACCCTAGAAATTCTGAAAACCAAGGGCTCCTATTGGTTGTTCATTTGCTGAACACTTGCTGGAGTTGCCCTCTTGCCTGAGGATTCTAAGAAGTGAAGAGGAGGTTCCCATTGGCTAGAGTGAACTCCTCTTGGTTAGAATTCAAAGAACTGGAAGCTCCCATTGGCTGGGCAATGGCCAATGGGGTCAGGATTTGGCCCTTAAAAGGGCAATCCTAGGGGGCAAGGGCCCACCTCCCAGTTATACCCACTAGGAGATATCTCCCAGAGGCTGAGAGGCAGGGGGTCCCCCAAATGTCCTTCCAGCCATCCTCTGATGTCTGGGCCTGGCTAGTTTGGGGACAGGGGGCTTTGGCACTCACACGGTGCACACACACACGTGTGGCAGGGAAAAAATGAGGACTGGGCAGATTCTGGGTGGGTGGTCAGGCCTCACAGCAGGTGGTCACGGCTAGCAAACAGGTAAGGGCTGAAATTGTCCCGGTGGAAGGGGGAGGGATAGAGTCCACTAAGGGTGTACAGGTCCCGAAGCAGGGGTGTGGGCAGCAACAGCTTCCGGCCACGTCCACCACCCCCACCTGGCCCCCCAGGCCCAGGAGAGGAGGGTGAGGGGCCCTGGCTTGGGGTTGGTGCTGGCAGGGGCAAGGGCAGTGGTAGAGGCGTTGGCTCAGATCTCAATCGAGGACGGGGCACACGGGGTGACGAACACATGGCTGGAGCCCTGGAGGACACACAGCTTGGGATCAGGTGGCCACGGCGGGTGCAGTTCTGCGGCTCTGGGGGTCAGAGGTCATGGAATTAGAAAGCTTTGGAGGAGGTAAGATCTCTCAGTGACCATCACCTGGATGTCCCCTCATTTATCCCCCCCATTCCCTTGACACTCACTGGATGGGGTGAGCCGTGCCGGTGTCGAATGCGGCCTGCAGGCCTCGGGTTCCTGAGATAAAGAGGCAGAGGGATGGGGCTAGTGGCCCCCTGGGCCCCACTGGCCATAGCATGAGGAGCTCATTGGGCCGAAAGCCAATGAAAAAGACAACCAGATTCTCAGGATTAACCATGTCCCCTTGGCGGGGAGAAAGGGGGTATACCCTTCTATTCTGGGGGACTGTCCCCCAGGTCTTATGTCCACAGAGATGAGTCATCCCCCCACATCCCCATGGCCCTGAGACACCCCCACCTCTTGCCTGACTGACTCCCTGTTTCCTTGGCCCCCTTCCACCCACCACCCTCTCCAGCCGGGAGCAGTCCCCGGCCCCCCTTACCTGGGCCACACTTAACTTTTCGAGGGGGCTGTCCATGGTGGGAGCTTGGCTAAGGCCCTCCCAGGGGGAGAACCTTTGGCCGGAGGGTGGCCGGCTCTGGAAGTTGTGCACGACACAGGTGACCTGGGGCAGAGGCAGAGACGCATGTTGAGGTTAATACGATAACAGTGGTGTAAAGACCATCCCCATTTTTCAGATAAGTAAACAGGCTTAGGTTTTCAAAGACAGCTAACATTTTTATGATGCTTACTATGTTATTTTCCACTCTACTGAAAGGTAGCTACCATTACTATTTATTCCACAGGGCTGGGATTAGCAGGAGGCAAGTAAGGCTGAGTTGTGGAAGGGCAGGATCTGATCCTGCCTTTATTTAAATTTTTGATATTTTTGCATTAATTTTTATTTAAAAAATGTTTCATTAAATTTTTTTTTTCAGATAGAGTGGTAGGGAGAGAGAGGAAGAGCGAGAGAGAGAGAAACATCGATGTGAAAGGGACACATCGAGTGGCTGCCACTTGCACGACCAACCAGGGCTGGGGACAAACTGCAACCGAAGTACGTGCCCTTAGTGGGAACCGAACCCGGGTCTCTCCGGACCGCGGGCCGACGCTTTAACCGCTGAGCCAAACCGACCAGGGCTCATTAAAATATTATTTATCGCCCTGGCCGGTTTGGCTCAGTGGTAGAGCATTGGCCCGCAGACCAGAGAGTCCTGGGTTCGGTTCCCGCTAAGAGCACGTACCTCGGTTGCAGTTTGTCCCCGGCCCTGGTTGGGGTCGTGTGGGTGGTGACCACTCGATGTGTTTCTCTCTCTTTGTTCCTCTCTCCCTCCTGCTCTACCTGATGATAAATCCAAAAAATATATATATTATTTATCTGGCCCTGGCTGGTATGGCTCAGTGGATAGAGCACCAGCCTGCACATATAGGGGTCTCAGGTTTGATTCCCTGTCAAGGGCACGTACCTGGGTAGCAGATTCATTCCTGATCCCGGTTGGGGCAAGTTCGAGAAGCAACCCAATCGATATGTTTCTCTCTCTCATCCTCCCTCCCTCCCTTCCACTCTCTAAAAATCAATGGAAAAAATATCCTCAGGTGAGGATTAACAGATATACAGATATATAGATATATATATATCTGAATTACTACGTGTTTTAATACCCCTTAAATTTTGCACTCAAAACAAGTACCTCAGTCCCATCACCCTGATCCAGGTCCTATTATCTCATTTCACAGATGAACATCCAGGAAAGGTAAGGTTAAAGATCTTGTTTGAGGTTACAAAGTCCATACCCTTCACAATCATGCAGTCCTCCCTCTTGAGTTAGGGAGCTGATGGAAGGTCTCCCTTACCAGATGGGTGCAAAGGAAGCTAGCTCACCAGAAAGGTGGCAATGGCACCTCCGGTCAGGAAGCCGGCCAACACATCAGACCAGTGGTTTCGGTACTCTGCCACACGGACCACACCCACCAGGAAGGCGGGGCACAGCAGGGCCAGGCAGAGAGAGGGTTTCACCAGGCGGGAGCCCTTCACACGGAACACCAGTGTCACATACATCTGTGGAAACCATCCAGTCAGGCGACACAGGAGATGCAGTTGCTGAACCCAAGTGGCCACTGCATTCGGGGCTAGGGGGCATGGCCAGAATCCCATTGGGGCTGGAGGATGTGGTCAGGGATTCTAGGGAACAGAGCCAGAGGACAGGAGTTCAGGGGATGGAGTCATGGACTCCCAGTGGGCCCTTGCTAGGGTGGAGGCATGGCCAGATCACCAAAGAGCAACGGAGCTCTCTGGGGCAGGGTCTCCCAGGACCAGTCAAGGAGGGTGAAAGGTCCTCGCTGGGCTAGGGCGTGGCTAAAGAACCAGAGGGTGGAGTTAGGACACAAGGGAGCAGGTCCAGGAGTTCCAGGAGGTGGAATCCCCAAACTCCAGGGGACCACTGATTGGAATAGAAGCTGAGACCCAAACTCCAGAAAAAGGAGTCAAAGCAACATGGGGTGTGACCAGGGAAAAGCAAGGAAGAGTCAGGAAGTCCTAGCAGAGACCAAGAAAATAAAGAGTGGGGACAAAGGGGGAGGGAGTTGAGGGCTCCAGGAGGCGAGGGCTCCAGGAAAGCCCACCAGCCCAGTCTCCTAGCCAATATCCAGGAAAAGTAGCATCCCAGGGACATGGCTAGGCTCCAGACAGTGTCCTGATTCCACAGGGTGGAGCCAACAGGCTCCACTGGGGGGTGACGTTACTGGGTCAGGAGTAATGACACCAAAGGGTGCAGTCAAGAACAGCAGTAAAGCCAGGGTTGTGGGCTCCATCCCCAGAAGGGGCGTGTGCAGGAGGCAGCAGATCGCTTCTCTCTCACATTGATGTTTCTATCTCTCTCCCTAAAAAATTCAATAAAAACATTAAAAAACAAAAACAAACAGAACAGCAATAGACTCAAAGATTTGGAGGAGGGGGAGAGCCAAAGAGAGGAGTCAGAGCTTCCGCCCAGTAAACTAGGAGTAACAGAAACCAGGGCGTGGTCTTACCCAGGTGATATTCGGAGGCTTAGCCCAGGTGGCGTCCTGCTGGCTGGCTTAGACCCCCCCCCCCCAAAAAAACACACACACACATCGTAGCTCCCCTTCGGGGCTCACCGCTGTGTAGGTAACCGCGTAGGCGCAAAGTGCAGCGTCTTTGCAGGGGAAGGCGCGGCGTGCAGCGGCTACCAGGCTAGGGCTGCCGGCGCAGGCACCCTGGTCCGTGACAAAGCGGTCCGGCCCTAGCCGGTCTGGTGAGGGCGGCAGGCAGCCCAGGGCCGTGTAGTTGGGGCGGCACACGGACAGGAAGTGCGGTGTGGGGTTGCCTGTCACCACCTGCCCCGCGTTGGCGAAGATGGTCGTGGTGAAGAGGCCAAACGAGTAGACCCCTGGGGATGGGGTGAGAAAGGAGGTTTACGTTGAAGCCCTGTGAGCCCCTTTATGACAAGGACTCCTACCTCCTTGTTCCTGTGACCACCATTTAAGCACCCGGGACTCCCTTTAATACCATATACTCCATTATATAGCTGGGCCACCACGATGGCACTCTGGGCCTCTTGTTGCTGTCCCTTCTGGGATTACCACTACATCAGAAGTGTGCCCTCCCCTGGAACCCCATTATACCTAGGCTGGGTTTCCTTAACTTCATTATATCAATATTGGATCCATGCCTGGGACCTCCTCGAACCATACTGATGGCATTTCTGGGCCTCTTTATACCTGCCCTGAACTTGCTGTTACTGAGTTGCTCACTTTTCCTTTGGACAACCAATAAGCCAGAGCTGGACCTCCAGCCCTGTGCCACAGGGACCATTATTATAGATGAGCTATTGCCCCTCCCGTACCTCCGTGACTCCCTATTGTGGCTGGGACTACATTAAACCACAGCTGAGGTCTCATCTCCCTGGGGCGTCATGGCATTTGGTCTGCACCTGCGTTCCCCTTTTCTGATTGAGATTCTCCTTGTGGCAATTTGGGGCCCTCCTCTCAGTTGCCATGGTTGGCTAAGGACCCATCCACATCCTTAAAACCTCCATAATGCTTGGCCTGAGCCCAAGTCCCTTTTTGCCTCTGACCATTATGACAGTTTTAGGCCCTTTTGCCCCTGGAATCCTGATTATGGCTGAGCCTGTCCCATATCCCTTTGTGTGGCTGAACCCTGGCCCTGTCACTCACCTAGGAAACGGACCAGCCTCCTCAGTGGGGGGCTGAAGCGGCAGCAAGCCCCAGAAATGATGGTGCTCTCCCCGATGATGGGGATGGCTGAGGGTGGTGTGGGGAAAAAGGCACGAGCCAGCTCCCCCAGCAATATCTGTGGGCGAGACCAAAACAGGGTCTTCCTGGCCTTCAAGCCCAGCCTTCTGCCAACCTCCCCCTGACACTCTTGCCTCCTGGGAGGTCCTCCCACAGTCTATTAAGGCTACCCCCAGTCTCACCGTGAGGGTGGGCCCAGCGGTGACCAGAGCATAGATAAGTGCAGGAGGTGCTCGGCTGGCAGCCTCAGGCCCCGGGTAGGGCTTGGCATAAGTACTGTCATAGCAGAAGAAGCCCTGGGTGTGCACAGGGAAGGTGTCCGTGAACTCCAGGCGGTAAGCAAGCAGGACCACCACGCCCAGCAGCACTGACTGCCGCCCAGCCAGGGTGGAGAGAGACAGAGAGAAGAGAAAAGGTTAGGCTCAAACTGGGGACATGGACACACATACACCTACACACACACACACACACACACAGAGCGACAGAGAGAGATAAGGGAGAGAGAGAGACAGAGTGATCAAGACTGAGGGAGATAAAAAGAGTGAAAGAGACAGAGAGGTGGGGAATGAGGCCAGAGAAGTGTCAGGGTCTCGGAGACACAAAGTAAGAGATGGAGATGGAAACAGAAAGAGAGTGAAGACAGAAATGGAGGGGAGAGGAGAGAAGAGGGAAGAGGAGAAAGAGAAAAGGCAAAGAAGAGAAAGAGAAAGGACTAGAACAACAGAATAGAGAGAGAAGAGGAAATAGGATTGGGAAGGAGTGTGAGGACATGGCTGAGATCTGACCAGAGAGAGACAGAGACAGTGGGTGGTGGAGCGACAGATCTCCAGGGAAAGAATACTACTAGTAGGACTAGCAGCTACCCCAGGTATAACCCTTACTGTGGGCAGGGTGTCATACTAAACCTCTTCTGTCGATGAATACACTTTACCTTCTAAATATGGCCATTTGACAGAAGAGGAAACTGAGACTCAGGAGGATATGTGAGATGCCCAGAGTCCTGAAGTAAGGATGGGAAGAGTGGGATTGGAACCTGGAAGTGCCACTTCTGTGTCCAAGCTCATAAACGCATCTCAAGAAAAAGGGAACAACTACTCTCACCTTCCAGAGACAGGGAGTAAGAGATCAGGGAGAGAGAAGGCAGGCTTGAATGAGGGAGATGGAAAAATAGGTCCAGATAGGGACCTGGCCAGGATGAGGGAGACTGAGGTTGGGCAGAGAGGAGACAGGAAGACAGGTACACCCTCTCACCACTGAAGGAGGTACTGGATTCCTCACCTCCACGAAGACAAAGCAGGGAATGATGGAGAAACTCCTCTTCAGCTGAGGTCTCCCTCCTGCCATGGTGAAGGCTTGGGCCTGTAGGGTGGGGAGGGAGCGGGGTGGCCAGGGTGGGGGCTACAGGGAGGCTCAGGTCAATGGTCCCTGGAGTCCTCTGGCCATGCCTCTGCATATCCAGGTCTTAGGCCTGCCCTTGCCCACTGGAGACACTAGCTTTCCCTGACAACCTATTGGGGGAGGGAGGGCAGAGACTGTCCAGTGGTCTTCACTCCCTATAACCTACATAGGAGATTCTGACCCCATACCTTTTAGAAAGAACTCTCCTTACCAAGCAGGACCCCTCCCCTTGGCCTTTAGAAGAGAATTCTCCAGCTTAATGGGGATGCCTCCCCCATGAAGAAGGATTCATTTAGAAGGGTTCTCACACCCACCGATTTTTAGGGATCACCATCCTTTTTCTCCACATGCATTACATGGGACCCCATGCTCCATGTCCCCCACCCCTGCCAGGCCTTTCCCTGAGCCCCTTTCCCCATGGCCCACAGGGGCCTTTCTCCTGTCCCTATGGTACGTGGCTGATGGCCAGGCCCTCCTTCTCTCCCAGCTGACTCTCTGCCTCTCCTTATCTACCTTCTTTCAGCACATCTGCTTCCCTATATCATTCAGGGGCTATCTGTCCACCACATGCTCCCCCCTACCCTTGGCAGTGAAGGGCTAACAGAGTCACACCTGCTTGAACCCATTCTCCCAGCCTGGCCTCACCTGTGAAAGAACCCTATGGCTTCCCACAGGCAGCTGTCACACCCGCAGACTCAGAGCTGCTCCTGGTAGCCAGCAGGGCAGTGATGGTCACCCCCATTGCACAGACGTGGAAACCGAGGCGCAGGCAGGTGAGGGTAGGCACTCTGGGTCCAGTGCTGCATTCACGAGGCTTGTTCTTTAGTGTGACATGTGAAGTGAGGGTTGCTAGAGGTCCCAGATGTCTATCTGGCCAAAACCCTCACCTTCCCAGAGATACAGTCAATCACACTGCCATCCCCAGAGTACTCAGCCACTGTCTGCCCCCCCACACACACACACACCCACCAAGGCCCAGCATTCATCCATCTCACCAGCATGGACCAAGTGCCTGCTCCGTTCCAGGCACTGTACTGGGTGCCAGCCTTGTGGTAAACAAGACAGGCCCACTCATTCAGACAGGTGCCCAACACCCACCACACACATAACTGCATACTCATGCACACAGCACCGTGTGCACACAGCCTGTCACAGACACCCACATAGATCAAACAACTCCCCCCCAAAAAAACAGTCACAGGGACACAGCAGGAGGTCCTCACCACATCTCACAGCTCCACACAGCCCCACAGGAGCACTCACCCCTCAGGGCTGTGGACTCAGGGTTGCCAACACACTTAAGAGTCACATCAAGAAGAGTCACACTTAACAGACACACAATGGTGACTGTATCACAGGAATGGTCATAGTGTCACACCTCCAATTACAAGGCATTCAATGACAACTAGACACATTAACGGTTCTCATCCACACAGCCAAAGGAGAGACATGTGCTATCCATGACCACAGCCACATGGCCACACAAGGGCACATACACGAACCATGGCAGATTCATATCCAAAACCACAGAGCCACACAAGAAAGGCGCATGGTCACAGCCACACACTAGAGTGCAAAAATGGCCACCCCACACACCATCAGAAGAAACACACAACAGCACTCACACAATGCCAGTCATATACAAACAACCATACAAACATCAAAATAGTCACTCAATCACAGAGATAGCCGTCAACATGACACAGCCACACACACACCTTAAGTGATATCCACGATGACAGCTACACAATGATAGCTGCAGGAGACAGTCTCACACACACCACACACACTCCAGAAACCACACAATCACAGCTATACAGACACACAATGACAGTTACACAACCACACACTGACATATACTAACAACCATACAATCCTAGTCACCCTCACCACCACTGCTTGGCTTCTCAAGCCCGGGGTCCCCTCCCATGCTGCCCTCCCCAGCCCGGTCCCTTACCTCCAGTTCCCCGCCTCCCCTCCCCCTCCCTACGATAAACCCGCAGGGGACCCACCAACAGGATCCAAACCTGGACTGGACAGACAGACCGAAGGTAGGGAGCCCGCGAGAGTGTGTACAGGGGAATCTTCAAGCCCCTCCCCTTCACCAGGTCGAGGCTTCTGCCACCTGAGCCCGGGTTCCGCCTAGACGTCACCGGTGAGGCTGGATGGACAGACTGACGGCTGGCCTGGCGGGCGGGCAGACGCACAAATGGAGATGCACTGGGCCGGGATCAGCGCGGCGGCGCAGACTCCGGGCGGAGCGAGGGGCGGGGCCTCCGAGAGCCTTATCTGCATAATACCATGGGCGTGGCCTCGTGATGTCTAATTAGCATGATCCGGGCGGGGCCTCGGTTGTTCTTTGGGGCGGGGCGTGTTAGAATAGATTGAGGGGGAATGAAGGATGGAAGTTGAGAGGGAGAACTCTGGGTGAGGGGAGGAACAGAAGGGAACAGGAGGGCAGAGTGTCAGACAGTGACCCTGGGCAGCCACGCTCCCTCTCTGCGGCTCGGTTTCCCTATTTGGGCAGTAAGGGCAGCAGGCCAGATCGCCAAGGTCCCCTAGAAGGCTGGTGGCTATTGTGAAACAGCCTGTCTGACCACTCATATCTGGACAGATCAACCCCTGATCTCTCCTATACTAATCTAGCTTCACACCCATCCCTGACCCTAGGCCAACACATCCTAAACAGCCCCTGGGATCTCATGCCCTCCCCAACACTAGGGAGTAAATGGGGGTGGGTCATTCGCAGGCACAAGCAGCAGCAGGAGCAACAGTCCACAGGTGGAGGAGGGTCTCTGCTAGTTTATTTTCTCTCTGGAGGGGTCTTCATGGAGAGCAGTCCCAGCTGCTCAGGCTGTGGGGAGAGAGGATGGGTAAGGTCCAGGTCTGGTCCAGGAGACCGCAGGGCTGGTGGTCAGGGTGCATGAGCCCAGGCTAGGAGCTGGGAGGGTTTATACTGTGGGATTCCAGGGTTGGTCAGGAGGGGCAGGGTGAGTCAAGCAAGAGAGGATTCACACCTGGTGGGAAGGAGCGGCTTTTGTTGAATAGTGGCTGGGAAAGGCCCTGGTCAGAGTCCGAGTCCGAGTCCCAGGAGTGAAGCGGAGGGCTCAGGCATCGGTGCCCCTTGTAGCCTGCAGGAAGAACAGGTGCCATTCTGGCTCTCCATGCATGAACCCTGAATGTGACCCTTGAAAGACCTCTGAATAGGGGCAGTGTCCCTTGATCATGTCCTTTGAATGTGATCCAATGTGACACCAAAGTATGATCTCGATGACCCTTGAATTTTACCCCAATGATCCTTTATAAAAGACCCCAGTGACCCTGAGTAACCCTTAGATGAAACCTCCAGGGGCTCCTTAATGTGATCCCAAATTGAAACCCAACAGATGTGACCTCCAAATATGGCCTCTGAATATGATCTCCATGTCTGAAGCTGGAGACTAACCCCCCCACACCTTGGAACATGGTTCAGCCCGCCTCACCCCTGAGACTGGCAGCCCTGGGGCGGACCCCGGAGGACATGGTGAGGCCATCAAAGGAGTTCTGCAGCATGTGCACAGCAGACCTGCAGGAAGATGGGAAGATGGGGGCCCCAGGTGACTCTGGAGTGCTTGAGGCTGGGCAGGGGGTTGTTGGGGGGCCAGGGAAGAAGGGAGTCCTGGTTGGAGATGGAGGTCTGGACTCAGATGGCTTCCAGGTTCTGGTGGTTACTGCTTGACCAGATTGGGAGCATGGCAGGGCAGATGAGGGTCAGGGTCAGAGGTCAGAGTAGGAGCTGGGCATCACCATATGTCACTCAGCTCCTTCTGGAGGTCATTCCTCCAAGAGCCATTGCCTCCTGATGGCATCTCCTCTGTCTCCAGCCAATTGGATGTCTCACACCCTTGCTGCTTCATCTTGGTCAAGACCTGGGGCTCAGAGAAGGGTAGAAGGAATGAGAGAAGAGCAGTAGAAATAACAATACCGATGGTGAAAGGTGACAATTACATGGCACTTATTACTGCCAGGCTGCCCTCAAAAGGCTTAAAAGTTCATGCAGCTACCCCTTCAGGTAAATATGTGTTGTTATACCCATTACACAGATGAGGAAACTGAGGCTCAGAGAGGTGAAAAAACTTGTCCAAAGTCACACAGCAGTAAGTGGCAGAGCTGAAATTTATGCCCAGGCCTTCTGGCTCAAGTCCAATGGTGGAGGCCGGCAGAGATCCCCGTATCCCAACTCATGTGTGGTCCCTGTCCTCTCCTCTCACCTTACGGCACTTCACCTGGGTCTTCTGCATCTTCTGGATGTTTACCAGGTTCTCAGTGATCTCTTCCTCCTGTGCCTCTGTAAAGGGAGGGGACTCAGGAGGGCAAGGCAGCAGAAGGACACCCCCACCCCTCCATCCTTCATGGGCTCTAGGCACTCACGGAGCTTCTGATAGATGAAGGTCACCTCCTCCCGAACCAGCTCCAGCTCTTCCCACAGAAATTTCTTGCTGAGGGGATAGTGCAGCTTGGATCCACAGCCCCTGCCCAGTCCCTGGCCTCCTGGTATCCCAGTGTACTCACCTACCTCTCCAAGCCTCCTCACCTCCCATGTTCAACATCCATTCCCTCCAGCCCCTCCTCCAGCTGCCCACCCACTTTTACCCTCCAACTGCTATTCTCCCACCTCCCCTCTCCAGCCCCCACCCTCTCCTTCTGACCTCCAACCTCCCATTGCCTGGCTTTCGTCTCTCCACCTTCTGTTCCCCTGACCTCCCATATCCCCAGCCTCCAGTTTCCTGATCCCTTGGCCTCCTCCCCATCCCACCTCCAGCTTCCTGTCTTCCCTGCCTTCTGGCATCCCAACCCCCCCCCACCCCACCCCCACACACAGCTGAGACTGCTCTCCCCGAAGACCCCTCCAGAGAGAAAATAAACAGAGACCCTCCTCCACCTGTGGACTGTTGCTCCTGCTGCCTCCAGTCTTGCCCCCCATTATCCCTTCCTCTTGTCCTTCAAGCCTCCCACCCCTTTTACTCAAGCCTCTACCATTTCCCCCATCTTGGCCTTCCTTCCCTCCCACAGCCTCTAGGCTTCTCCCCTGGCAATGCCTACCTGTCTCGGATCTCCTGGGCCAGCAGCTGCAGGCAGCGGGTAGTGCGAGCTCGTTGCACCTCCTCACTATCCCGCAGGGTCTTCTGCAGCCCCTGCAGGCCTTGCGCCAGTGCCCCATATAGCTCCTCCCGTCCCTGCTCCATGCCCCATTTGTGTCCCTCTGTCTGGTGGCTTATGGGGCTCATTACTTCTGCCAAGACAGTGGGAACATGACTGAGGCCCAACCACACCAAGCCCAGTTTTGAACCCATATTGCCCTAGCCTAGCTGGATCCCAACTCTGAATCCAGACTCACTTCTTTTCTCTGACTCAGCTGACCCCGACAACCCCCAGCCTCACCTTGACCCAAGGCAAGTCCCCACCTTCAAGCTGTTGGATCTTGATTTGCTGCAGGCAGCTCTCCTTCTCCAACATGGTCACTGAGTGATTTAGGAACTCAAAAGCCTGTGGGAGAAGAGGTCATGCCTGGAGGCAGGAGGGGAGCAGAGGACAGGGACAGAGGTTGCTGGGAACAGAGGTGGCTGAAGAGGCTAACCTTGGTCTGGGCCTGTAGCTGGTTCTTGAGTGACTCCAGTTCACATCGCAGGAGCTTCTGGGTGTCAGGAATCATCTCAGCGTACTTAACTGTGAGTAGAAGTTGTGGGTCAGCCAGGCTGGGAAGGGTGGGGGCAGGGGCAAAGTCAGCAGCAGGGATCTACCAAGAATGAGGTAGAGGCAGGAGTAGGGGTCAAGATCAGGGACAGGGATGGAGAGCAAGGTCAAGGGCAAGCATCAACTGATTCTGGGGCAGGGCTGAGTGGGCAGCGATGGTGGAGTTCCACGGAGCCTGTGGAGCAGAGGGTGGAAATAGGAATCAGCAGGTCTTCCACACACAGTCTTGTTGGGAAGGAGGGTTCTCACCTTTGACTTTGGAAGAGCTGGTGTCCAACGGCTTCTAGGGTAAGGGAATATGAGGGCAGTAGAAATTCATCCCTCAGCTGCTTCCTTGCTCACCCCAACCCAGTGTGTGAACATGAGTTGGGTCTGCTGAGTTCTGGGTGTCCCAGACCCCAAGTGCAGGCAAAGCTGCCTCCAGGCACATGTGTTCATCTCCGCTGGCCTGTACATGCTCAGAAGTGCACTTATGTGGCTTGTACCCTACATGTGTGGGCTTCTGGGCTGCCCCTGACAGCATGCAGCTGCTAAGCCTTGTTTCTGGACTGGGTTCAAGAAATGGCCCTCCTCCTCAGGGGCAAATGACACTGACAATGTCTGCAGGCAGCACCAATAACATTGACGCATAACCATGCATAATCCCACAACCGCAGCTACACAGACACAACCTCAAACACAGCTGTGCACTCCAAGCCATAAGACCAAATACATCCATGTACACCCATTTCAGATACATAACCAGACACAGACACAAAATCAGTCATACCCAGAGACAATTACAGACAAGACTGTACTAAAACACACAATCCAACATCCATTCCATTCATTCCTTCATCCATTAAGACATTTTCATTGCAGGCCTGCTGAGCCCTGGCAGGTGTTCTGGGTGCTGAAGACACATGGTGGGAGGGTTCTTGAGGAGGACCTCCCTGCCCAGACAACCCCCTCCCTAAGCCCCACAGCAACAGATTGCAGTGCAGCAGGAAGGGGTTTCCAGGGTGGGGTGACCTTAGTGATGCTCTGATGCCTCTTCACAAGTTCCTGGTCATTACAGTGCTCCTGCAAGTCTGAGTTGGGGAAGGGGGGAGACCCATGCAACTGAGGCCCTGAGTCCCTCCCTGGCTTCCAGTCTATATTCGTCACTGTGTTCTCTGAAGCAGGTGGCCCCAAGTTCTCTGGTTCTGGGGTGCTGGACCAGTGAATCGTATAGTCCACGGTCTTGTCTGAGGAAGGACCTGAGGGTGGGTAAGTGAGGACTTCCTGAGGAACAGCCTAGAGCACTCCAGTCCCTCCCAGCTCCCCAGCCCTGGAACAGCCCTTCAACGAACCCCAGTACTTGTCACACTTCCCGTTAGCAAGCAAACACAAGTCGGAGGGCGAGGGAGATGAGCAGTAGTAGGGCACAGAGTAGTCAGGGTCCCGGGGCAGGCCAGCCAGAAGAGGGTCGCTTAGGGTAAGGAGGACAGGGAGCTGCACTGAGACCAATCTCTATGTCTCCACACTCCCAGACCCTCTCTGACACCTCAGAGAGGCCCAGCCCTGAACACAGGGCCTCCAGCTAAGGTAGGAATAGGATGAAAGATGATCCCAGCCCCAGGGGTTGGATTGAGCAGTGAGAAGGACCTAGGAGACTCCACAAGAGAAAGTGAGGCCTCTAGAAAAAAAAAAAGAATCTTAACATTGGGTCCTATAGGAAGGACATTCCTGGTAGAAAACAGCATGTGCAGCCCTAGCCAGTGTGGCTCAGTTGGTTGGGCGTTGTCCCCGTGTACCAATCCCAGGTAGGGGGCATGGAGGAGGCAGCTGATGATGTTCTGCTCTCACATTGATGTTTCTATTTCTCCTCCCCTCCATTCCTCTCTCTAAAAATCAATAAACTATTAAGAAAGAATTAAGAAAGAAAGAAACTATTAATAAACTAGGAAGGAAGGAAGGAAGGAAGGAAGGAAGGAAGGAAGGAAGGAAGGAAGGAAGGAAGGGAGGGAGGGAGGGAGGGAGGAAGGAAGGAAGGAAGGAAGGGCATGTGCAAAAGCTTGAGGTGTGAAACCATGTGTTCTGTGAGGGTAAATTCAGGACAGTTGGAGGCAGAGTCCAAGAGGAAGCAGCATAAGGTTAGGAGGGCAACTCAAGCAAGGCATTGAAAGCCAACTGGGGAAGTTTGGACCTGGTTCCCCATGTAAATGGGAACCATAGTGTATGAACAGGAGAGGCAGGGCATATATCTATTCAATAAATATTAGCTGAACTGAGGGTCAGGCCCCGGCCCATGCTAGGTGATACTGGGAACAAGAAAGAAGTCAGTTCTGTGTCTCATATCCACATAAATCTGCCCTTCCAGTGTAGTTAGGGCTGGCACAGATGAAGTCACCTGGGACAGGGCTGTCTGGAAAAACTTCCAGGTGAGGGGATCTTGGCTGGGTCACACTTGGCCAGAAAGGCCACACTGTAGGCCTTTCTGTCCTTCTGTCCTTGTTGAGCCTGCTGGTGTCCTTCCTCTGCCCAGTCCTAGAAGACTTCTATACATCCTTCAAAACCTACTCAGCATCTCCTTTGAAAAGCTTCATTAATCCTTTTATAAATAAAATATTTTTTATTGATTTTTAGAGAGAGAGAAAGGGAGAGGGAGAGAGAAACACTGATGTGAGAGTGACACATCAGTTGGCTGCCTCCTCTAAGTCCCCTACCAGTGATCAAGCCTGAAAACCTGGCATGTACCCTGACCTAGAATCAAACTGGCAACCTTTCAGTGCACAGACAACACCCAACCGAGCCACACCAGCCAGGGCCCTTAATCCTTTTTTTATCCTCACCTGAGGACATTTTTGTATTTTTGTTCAGACAGAGTGGGAGGGAGAGAAAGAAGGAGGAGGAGGAGGAGGAGGAGGAGGAGGAGGAGGAGGAGGAGGAGAAGAAGAAGAGAGAGAGAGAGAGAGAGAGAGAGAGAGAGAAACACTGATGTAAAAGGGAAACATTGAGTGGCTGCCTCCCATCCAACCCCAGTCAGGGCCAGGGATTGAATCGCAACTAAGGTACATGCCCTTGACCAGTATCAAACCCGAGACTCATTGGTCTGCGGGCCTATACTCTAACCACTGAGCAAAACCGGCCAGGGTTTTAATCCTTTTTAAGCTCTTATTTTTTGAGCACCTCACTTAGTGCTGGGCACCACCCTCAGCACTCATTGGGTCTTCACACCTATCCTGTGAAATGAAGTTATTCTGCCTGAAATGTTCTAGACCATTTCAAGTATTAGAAACCATAGCTGGATGGCTTGGGTTCAAATTCTAGCTCTGCCCCTTCCTAATTGTGATGTTGGAAGAGTTACTGAACCTCTCCATGCTTCAGTGTCCCCAGCTATAAAAATGAGATGTCATATTACCACATAACTGAGTTGTGATTAAGTAAATTAATCCATGCCAGTGCCTAGCATACAGTAGTGGGAAATTCAGTGTATGTCCTTGAATGTCACGCTGAGGACTAGGGACCTGGGGACCACAGGAGCCCTGAGAGGATTGGAGTGGGGAAGGAAAGACCCATTTCTAAGTGCCAACCGCAGGGAGATCTCCAGTGGAGGCCCCCCTCCCCTTTCACATCAGCTGTTCCTCCCGAAGTCCCTCCAGGGAGAATTCTTGGGGTGAGGAGGTGGGGTCATTAGCCTGGGCCCCGCCCCCCGGGCCTTGAATCTTGTGCCTACCAGGCTCCGGACCCCTTTCCCCCCCAACCTACCACATAGCACCTGCTCATGCTTTCCCATCAGGGACCGCGAAGCCAGTCCCCAGCTGTGAGGGTGAAATTTGATCCTGTGGGGACACCATCGCCTTAAAACGCGCGGAGCCCAAATACGGAGTCACAGAGAGGGGTGTGGCTGGCATTTTAACTCCGCCCCACCGGTGCGGCCGAAAGCCTCATTGGCGCCTTCCCGCTTCCGCAGATCCTAGGAACCGCTGTGTAATTGGATAAAATCTCGGCGAGGGGGTGGGATTTCAGGTTGGTTTCTGCTAATCGATTAGTCAGTATCTAATAGGGCGGTACAGGAGGCGGCAGATTACGATTGGATTGGCTTCGGGTTTAGCTGGGAGGCGGGCCGAGTTCTTAGTCACACGAGGAGAGGAAGACCGCGGGAGTGAGGTACCGAGCCCAGTGGCCCCCGAGATCGGCCTGGGCGCCTCTGGTCTCGGACTCCTGGTATATGTTGAGGTCCGGATTCCTTCTGGTGGGTTCGGTGTCTTTGGTATGAGATTTGGGGTTTCCCAGGATTAGAAGGAGTCTCGGGGTGCTGTGGGGATCTTCATAGAGATACCTGGATCTTCTGAGAACAGGTCTTTGCTGTTAGAACTGGGACTCCAAGGTGATATTTGAGAGGCACTGAGGTGATCTCCGAAGATCTAGGGCTACGAGCTTGAGCTTCTGGAGCTGAAATTTGGGGGTGTCGGAGGTGGCATGGTTATTGGGGTACAAACAGCCTGAGATTTTATGGACTGACATTTAGGGATGGGGTCGGGGGTTGTCGCAGGACTGCTCTGAGTCTTTCCTACCCCCATTCCTGGGTTGCTATCCCCGGGTATCTACGGGATTGGCGGTGACCCTGGCCTTCAGGGTCTGAAGGCCACATGCCGAAGGTAGAGCTCTGAGCCACCGGGTGCCTCCTTCCCAGGCCTGCAAGATGGAGGAAGGCGGGAACCCCGGAAGCCTGACTAAGGTGGTCCATCTGCTGGTCTTGTCCTGGGCGTGGGGCATGCAAATGTGGGTGACCTTCATCTCAGGTAGGGACCCTCAGTCTGGATGTCATGGATACCCAGGGTGGGGACAGGAATGAGAGGAGGACCTGGAGTATCCTAATAGACGTGTGGTCCCCTACACCCCACAGGCTTCCTGCTTTACCGAGGCCTTCCCCGACATACCTTTGGTCTTGTGCAGAGCAAACTCTTCCCTTTCTACTTTCACATCTCCATGGGCTGTGCCTTCATCAACTTCTGCATCTTGGTTCCACAACACACCTGGGCGCAGCTCACATTTTGGGAGGCCAGCAAGGTACGCAGACTTGGGCTTTATTACCCTCTGAAGATTCATTTCCAGGACCCCACTGAGCACCTATTGCCATGTCTTTGTGAGAATTAAACTAACAAACAAAAAACACTGTGCCTTCTTCCTAGAGGATACAGTGCTGGGCTCTGGATACCTTTGAGCAGTGCACAGCCTGCACAACCAGCCCCAGCAGCTCTATTTCCCAGTGTTTCTCTGCTGGCTGCTCCTCCCTCTCCTCCCTCTGGTTGGGCCTGCTGCCAAGCTGTGGTGACTCAGCTGGTCAGGGGCACTGACCCCAGCTCATTGTTTAAAAACTAGCCTGACTGGGGCTTTTAAAATTTTGAAACAAGTAAACCTCCATATACTCATACAAATAGTAAGGACTTAGTTTTAGTTAAGTATAGATCATTGGATGCATGTGAGGTAATTACTGAGGGGAAGGGGAAAAAAACAGGTGAAAGGACTACAGAGAGTAGCCCTTGGTACTCACAGAGGGCCAGAAATAGTGCCTCTTCATACCTATAACTGACATTTATTATTAAATCTGATAAGTCACTGGCTATGGCGTTTTGCTTTAACAGTGGGCATTATCCCACTAAACAAAGTTAAAAGTAAGACCCAAAAGAATAATAATAAAAAATCTAGCCTGACTGGGAATTTAAAGTACCTCACCCCCATCCACACATTTCCCAGCCACCAGGCAAGGGACCATCTCTGCATCTCATATTTCTCCTGCCCGCCCTCTGTCCTCATTATGTTCCTCAGATGTGGGCAGGTAAAGCCTGACAAGGGTTTCAGGAGTAATCCTTCAGAGACAGGAGAGGATTATTGGTAACTAGAACTTGAAGGACTTTTTATTCACTCCCTGTGGGCCCAGTGTCAACATCTGGGATCTGGACTGGGGCCACAGAGGAGATGGGCCCTGTCTTAGGCTCTCTGTTTTGGGGGAATGAGAGGACAGTTATTGTGCTGTCCCAATTTGGTCAAGAGAGGTTCTGCCCTGATATACTGTCAGTTTGTGGGAACAGAGGAGAAGAGACAAGGCTGTGTTCTGGAAAGTTCCAGTTTGAGTATCAGAGGAGAGGAGGCTCAGAAGTTTGGGGACAATAAAGGAGATTCTGACAGGGAGCTTTTACTGCCAGTTTCAGGTTATAAGAGCTGAAGCTCTGGTTGGGGCCCCTAGTAGGGTTTGGGGAAGGAGGAGAGGCCTGGCTTTGATCCACTGCTGTCCCCCATCCCCCTGTGGACTTTGAGGATGCAGAAGGACGCTCTGGAGGGCCCTCCTGCCTCCCAGGAATGGCTCACCTCCCTCTACCTCTGTAGCTCTGCCTGCTGTTCCTGAGCCTCATGCTTGCCACCATCAATGCCTGTTGGCTGGAGCCTCGCACCACAGCTGCCATGTGGGCCCTGCAGACCATGGAGAAGAAGCAGGGCCTGGGTGGGGAGGTGCCAGGCCACCACCAGGGCCCTGACCTCTACCGCCATCTGCGGGAACAGGATCCCAAGTACAGTGCCCTCCGCCAGATCTTCTTCCGCTACCATGGCTTGTCCTCTATTTGTAATCTGGGCTGCCTCCTGAGCAATGGGCTCTGTCTCGCTGGCCTCGCCCTGGGCCTTAGGAGCCTCTAGTACCCACTGCTTCTTTGTCCATGTTGGGGCCCCAAATTTCAATAAACCCTTCTTTGGAAATGGCTACTGTCATTTTTCTTCACCAGGGAAGAAGGTTGGACAAGGATGGAGGTGAGGGCCTCTATTTCCCCATTTACAAGGCATGATGATTTGGAGTGTTAGCTGTTGCAGCCCCTGAGCTCTTTTATAACAGTACCCATTTGTTGAGCACCCACTGTGTGCCAGGCATGGAGCTAATCACTAGTAACAATAGCTGGTTCTGATTCCTAGGGGACAAGCGTATTTCTCACCCCATTGACATTGGGGGTGGCCATGTGTCTTGCTTTGACCAATGAAATGTGAGCAGAGACCCCCTCACCAATCATTTCCAAAGAGAAGAGTACAACAGTCCACTCCTTATCCATGGGTGATACATTCCAAGACCCCCAGTGGATACCTGAAACCATGGATAGTACCAAATCCTATATATATTATGTTTTTTTCTTATACATACATATCTTTTCAATTAACTCTATGGTTTCTCTGGCATGTCTGAATTGGCAGCATCACTACTCTTGTGCTTTGGGACCATTATTAAGTAAAATAAGGTTTACTTGAACACAAGCACTATGATACCATGGCATTTGATTTAATAAGATGGCTAGTAAGGGACTAATGGGTGTGGAGTGTCCACAGCATGGATATACTAGACACAGGGGTGATTCACATCCTGGTGGGATGGAGCAGGACAGCACAAGATTTCATCATGCTATTCAGAATGGTGCACAATTTTAAACTTAAAATTGTTTATTCTGGAATTTTCTATTTGTTTTTTTCAAACTGTGATTACTGTGGGTAACTGAGCCCACAGAAAGGAAACCGAGGGTAAGCCAAGACTTCTATACAAGCTAGGGAATGATTCCCCACATTTTCCCTTCACAATGACCAGTGTGAGTGTAGGTGTTGGGTGCCATGGAAGTTTCAGGGCTGCTTGTTACTAAGGATATGCCAGTCCTTTCTGACTGATGCATGTCACTGTTGTTCATTCTCATGGCAGTCCTTGGAGGCACCTGCTGTTCTTATGAAGCAGTGGGTCTCAGAGAAGTTTATTCAGTAAGTGGCTTCCGATGGAATTGTTGGAATTTGAACACCACCAAAGCCTGAACTATTATAACTACAGATCCTCTCCTGCTGGCATAAAGAAAACTCTAGACCTCAGCTAGGGCTGGATGTGCCAAATTTCCTTACTGTGCAGCCTCAGTCAAGTGGCTGACTTTCTGAGACTCAGTTTCTTTATCCGTAAAAGGGAGATTAGCCCTGCCAGTGTGGCTCAGTGGTTGAGCATCCACTCACACACCAAGAGGTTGCCGGTTCGATTTCCGGTCAGGACACATGCCCAGGTCATGGGACCGATCCCCAGTGGGGGACATGCAAGAGGCAGCCAGTCGATGTTCTCATTGATGTTTCTATCTCTCCCTCACTCTTCCTCTCTCAAATCAATAAAGAAAAAAATTTTTTTTTAAAAAGGAGATTAATTCCAAGGGCCCTCAAGAGTATTTGGCAAAGAGATCTAGCCCACTTTAGGGTCAGGCGCTGTAGTTTACAAACATTAATTCAGACCATAACCCATACACAACCCTGTGAGTTGGAGACTCTTGTTATCAACCATTTGACTGTAGGGGAAACTGAGGCCCAGAGAGGTTAACTAACTTGTCCAAGTCACAGGGCTAGAAATCGGTGGAGAATCTGTGCTCTCAACTGCTCTGCACATAGTAGGAACTCTATAGATAGTTTATTGTTGGGGGGTGAGCTCTAGAGCACTGCACGCGCGGTGCCGCTTGCAGCCTCTACCCCCACTTTCCACAAGCCTCGCCCGGGACTCGGCCCCGCCCTGCCCTCCCCAGGAGCGGCCCCTCCTCTCCAACCTGGGCGGAGCCGACGCGGGATCCGGGTTGCGGCGGCAGCAGCGACGGCAGTGGCGGTGGCTGTGGGGTCGGGGTTGCGGTCCGTCGGGTCGCTGCCGAGGGCGGGCCGCAGCGAGTTCGGAGGCGGAAACTCCGCGGGCAACGACCCCCACACGAGGTGACCCCCTCGGAGGGAGCGCACCCCGCCCCGCACCTCCGCGTCCCAGCAGGTCTGGGGGAGAGCAGAGGGTTGGGGGAGGCCCCGGGGGCCAAGGAGGGCAGCGGAGGGCGCCTCTTCCCTCACCCTCACCAGCTGGGCTCATCTGGGAGCGCTAATGGGGCGCGAGCGAGGCCGAGAGCCCCACTGGGAACATGAGATGGGACCATATGGAGATGGGAGGAAGCTCCCGAGCTCCCTTGCACCGGCTCGGGCGCCCTAAATCCCTCGAAGAGGGACAGGGCCAAATCCCAGGACTCTTACCAAGTGCCAGCATGAGGGAGGATGGGCAGATTGTTGTGGCACCGGCTGACTGGTGGGCTGGGGCAGGGGGCCTCAGCCTGGCAGCCCTGCCCAGCTTGGGGAAAGGCTTCCTGTCTCTTGTCTTCCCCTCAAACTCGTTCTCCCGGAACACCGGGTGGGGCTGAGGGCTGGGCAGGAAAGGGGGGGCCGGTTGTGTCCTCCTTTAAGATGGGAAAAAAAAGCCCCACAATCAGTTGAGAAAGAGCTTTGCCAGGGGTTCCTCTCTGGGTGTGTCCTCCATTCACCCAGGTCTTCTGGAACCTCCCTGTGTGGCTTAGGGAGCAGCCATAAACAGCTGGGGAAACTGGGTCTAGGGAGGCCATGAGGGCTGAGGAGGTGTCCTGGGCCCAAAGGAAGTAGCCCAGTGGTGGGAACACATTGCCAGGAAAGACAGGACTAGGGTTGGAGGGGAGTGGTGGTCCTGGCAGTGGGGATTCTTGATTATTAGTTGGCTGGGTTAGTTTCCTTCTGTTTAAGGACCATCACCCAGCCTCCGCGGGCTGGGGCTGGATTGAGTCAGCTTTACCCAGAAGGAAATGGGCCCAGCCCCTTTGACAAACAGAAGGTGGCAGTACCCATTGGGGGGCAGAGCCAGGCTTATACTTGGGCTGGACCACAGAAACCCCTGGGCTGGATCTACTGAAATCCCTTCCTTTGGAGGAAGATCAGGGAAGGAGTTAAACACAGCTTGGGTGGGGGCAGGGCAGGCTCCCTGGTGGTGGCTGACACCTGCCAAAGTCAACACCCAGGCTGCAAGGGGGGGCTCTATCCAGCTGGCAGGCCCCCTCCCCCAGTTCATACCTGGGCTACACTGGCTACTCACCATGGGGCAAAGTCCACACCTGTGCCTTCGCAGGGTCTGGTTCCTCAGCAACCAGATGAGGCCCCCATTCGCCCCCTAACCTGAGCCATTGCATTTGCCAAACATCCCCACTTTCCAGAGGAGCACACTGAGTCCTGGAGAGAGCAAGTGAGGTATCCAGAGTCACTTGAGCTCCAAGTGGCAGAACCGGAGTTTGAACCCAAGTCTGATGTATACAATGGAGCCCTTGCTTTTTTATTTTCCTGCAGGGCTCCAAGCCTCCCCCAATAAGTTCCCCACTAGGATGGCATCAGCTGGAGAACCTCCCACTGGCCCGCGTGATGCAGCAGACCAGAACTTCGACTACATGTTCAAACTCCTGCTCATTGGCAACAGCAGTGTGGGCAAGACATCTTTCCTGTTTCGCTACGCAGATGACTCCTTCACACCTGCCTTCGTCAGCACTGTGGGCATTGACTTCAAGGTCAAGACTGTCTACCGCCATGACAAGAGGATCAAGCTGCAGATATGGGTGGGCCCATTGGCTGTTCATGGGTCTGTAGTTGTGGAGAGCCTGGAGTTCCTCATGGGAAGGTGTAGGACTGTGGGAAAGGGTCCTGAGTGAGAGAGAAGAGAGTAGCAGAATCAGGGATGTGTGAAGAGTAGGGAAGTATTATCTATGAGGTGAATTCATCAGGATGAGGGGATATGCCCTGCCCTGTGAGGTCTGAGGGGGAGTCACCCAAGGCAGTTAGAAGCCCTGGTGACTAATGGGAAAGGGATTTGGGTACCATTTCAGGTGTAAGTTCGGAGGCCCCCATTGAGCCTGCCAGGTGTCAGAACCACCCTCTCCCCACCCCACAAACACAATGCAGCCGTTGGTAACAATTGTCAGGGTAATGACCACCTACATGTCTACATCAAGATGGTACCCTCTGGCCCAGGTGGCTCCTGTTTGTGGTTATTAAGTCATTAAGTTGGTTTTTGAAGATAAGGTCAAAGGGTCTTATAAGTCTGTGAGAGGAACTGGCCCCCAGACTGGGAATTCCTCAAGCGCAGGGCCATGTCTCTCCCATCAAACTGGAGGTTGAATAGGCAGGTTCCTATTTCTCCCATTAGACTGGGGCAGGGAGCACAGGGCCCTGCAGGAGTGCAGTGAGACCAGGGTGGCTTCTAGTCAGCTGACCCCACTGTTTTCCCAGGACACAGCAGGACAGGAACGCTACCGTACGATCACCACAGCCTACTACCGTGGAGCCATGGGCTTCTTGCTTATGTATGATGTTGCCAACCAGGAGTCCTTCACTGCCGTGCAGGACTGGTGAGTGCTTGCTGACCACTGATCCCCTGACCTTTGCCCTCTTCCCTAAACCCAAATCTCTGGCCTAACAGCCCTCAAACTCTACAGGGCCACCCAGATCAAGACCTACTCCTGGGACAATGCCCAGGTCATCCTTGTGGGGAACAAGTGTGACCTGGAGGATGAGCGTGTCGTGCTTGCTGAGGATGGTCAGAGGCTCGCCGGTGACCTTGGTTAGTGCCCAACATGGGCTGCAGGCCCTGAACCTCCCAGAACAAACCCCCAAATCCCAGATCCAACCACAGTCTCCAACCCTTTGCTCTTTGAGGGTCTGCCCAGAAAATAATGCCTACATATATGCCACCTTTTCCATTTAATTGTAGGAGTTTCACCCACTGATCCCCTCTCCCTGATCACTGCCCTAGGAACCCAGACTCAGAAAACTGTTTCTGGAAATTTATCCCACAAACATCCTCACTCATGTGGGAAGCAGCAAGTATATCAAATGGTAGTACTGTTAATAGCAGGGAAACCTTTGCAACCTCCCAGATGTCTCACAGTGGAGAAAGTAACAAAACATAAAATATATTCATGTGGTAGAATACTATGCAGCCATGAAAAAGGACAAGGGCATTCTTTATGTTTTGCTATGTAAGATTTCTGAGACATATGGTTAAGTGGTAAAAGCAAACTGCAGAATAGTGGGTATGGCTGCTTCCTTTAGTTCAGGCAGGGGTCAGCAAACATTTGTTTATAGAGCCAGACAGGAAATATTTTTGGTCGTAGGGTCTCTCACAATGATTCAGTTCTGCTTGAAAGCAGCCATAGACAATATACACCAGTGAACAAGTGTGACTGCCAGGAAAACGTCATTTACAAAAGCAGGCGCTGGGCCAGATTTGGCCTGCATCTTGAAATTTGCCAACACTTGCATTAGTGTATAAAAAGGATGAGAATAAGAAATATATACTTAATGTTAACCTAAAGGAATTCTGAAAGGATACAGAAACATCTAGCAACAGCAGTGACCTGTGTGTCTGAGAACTGGATGGCTGGAATCCAGGATGGGAGGGGAACTTTTCAGTTTATCTTTTTGAATCAGGTGAATGAATTATCTATTCAAAATTTAAGCTCAGCCCAGCCAGTGTGGCTCAGTGATTGAGCATTGACCCATGCACCAAGAGGTCGCTGATTTGATTCCTAGTCAGGGCACATGCCTAGGTTGTGGGCCCAATCCCCAGTCGGGGGCATGCAGAAGGTGGCCAATAGATATTCTCTCTCATCGATGTTTCTCTCTCTCCCTCTTGTTTCCTCTCTCTCTCAAATCAGTAAAGAAAAAAAATTTTAAGCTCAACTAAAACTTTGTCCTGGAGTATTCTAGTATTCTTGGCTCTCCAGGACTTTTCCTTACAGGAGATGGTGTAACTACTGTACGGTAGGGCTTGTTAAGGACCCAGATTCGGGCTAGAATCCCAGTCTGCAGCCCACTGCTGTACCATCGAGGGCACATTGCCTCTCCTGTCTGTGCTTCCATTTCTCCACCTAAGAAGCAGAGGTGAAACAGTGTCTACTTTATAGGGCTGTTAGAAAGGTTAAATAGGCGAAAACTGACCTTGGTTGAACATTAACTCGTATTATTTCTCATTCGCTTTGAGATCTTGTATACTTCCCTATGTGTCAAATGGAGATGATAACAGCCCCACCTCACTGAGTTATCATGAGGGTGAAATGAGTTGCAACATACAGTTATAGAAGAGTCTGGCACGTGTGTAGGTTGCATCTAAGTGTTAACTGGCATGATTGTGAAGTACTGTTGATGCCTGCATATAAAACTCGAAGCACGCCCTGGCTGGTGTGGTTTAGCGGTAAGAGCATTGCCCACGGACCGAAGAGTCCTAGGTTTGATTCCGGCCAAGGGCACGTACCTCGGTTGCAGTTCGTCCCCGGCTCTGGTTGGGGTTGTGTGGGTGGCAAGCAATCAATGTGTCTCTCTCACATTGATGTTTCTCTCTCTTCCTCTTTCTCTCCCTCCAGCTCTATCTGAAGATTAATGTAAAAATATCCTTGGGTGAGGATAAAAAAAAAAGAAAGAAAATAGTGGTTGTTTTAATAAAAATAAATAAAAGGAAAAAAAAAAAAAAAAACAGCTCAAAGCACCATATGGCCCACAAAGCCTCAAATACTTACAATCTGGCCCTTTACAGAAAAAGTCCAAGGCCTCCTAGACTATAACAGGTCCCCTTTCTCTTTTTTCTTGCTATCAATTTGTTGGAGAAACAGGGTCTTTTTTCTATGGAACATCTTTCATTTGTGGTTTGGCTTTTTGCTCCCTCATGGTGTCATTTAACCTGCTTCTTCGTCCCTTGTGTTTTCTGAGAACTCCAGCCTGGGTTTCATTTCCAGGTATTCTAGGGAGTCCTAGATCTCTACTTTGCCTGGAGCTGGTAAAATCACCTACAATCCGTGGGCTAGGATACTTGTGGAGGTAGCCCACATCTTCTTGCAGAGAACGTCTGGTGAGGGAGCTGAGGGGGGAATTCCCACTCTGTCATTAAGTTTAAAACATTGAAATACAAAGCAGGAGATGTAATTTGATCTTAATTGTGTAAATGACCCCCCCCTTAATTGTGTAAATACACACCCCTACAAACCCAAATCCAACAATTGTGTATTTGTATTTAAAAATTTTTTTTTGTTTTTTATCCTCACCAGAAGACATTTTTTATGTTCAGACAGAGTGAGAGGAAGAGAGAGGGAGAGAGAGAAACATCGACGTGAAAGGGACACATCGAGTGGCTGCCTCCCGCACAACCCCAACCAGGGCCGGGGACAAACTGCAACTGAGGTACCTGCCCTTAGCGGTCACTGAACCCAGGTCTCTCTGGACTGCAGGCCAATATTCTAACCATTGAGCCAAACCAGCCAGGGCTTTATTGATTATTTTTTAGAGAGAACATTTAGAGAGAAACATCGATGTGAGAGAGAAACATTAATCTTCTGCCTCCTGCATGCCTCCTACTGGGGATGGAGCCTGTAATCCAGGCGTGCGCCCTGACCAGTAATGGAACCGGGACCTCTCAGTCCATGGGATGACACTCAATCCACTGAGCCACTCTGGCTGGGTTGTATTTATATTTTTAAAAGTAGAAAGTTAAATATCAAAACACCAATAGTAATTTTCTCTGGGTGATGAAACTACAAATGGCTTTTGTATTTGTCTTGATATTTTTCAGCAGTTTCTAGCTTATCTAGCAAACATTTATGATGGGAAAAAAATTTTTTTTTAAAATTCAGATTGCTTGAGACAGAGCCATACATGTTTAAGGAAATGCCAGGTTTGCCCAGGAAGATAGTAGGGTGACATTGATAATCACTAGTTTCAGAGTAGATCGGCATTCGTGCCCTGCCTCTATCATTCATTCATCATTCATTCATTCATTCATTCATCATTCATTCATTCATCCATCCAGTCATTGAGCAAGTGGATCCCTAGGACCTACTCTGTGCCAGGCACCGGCTGCAGAGTGAATAAGGCAGAAATCCTGCTCTCTTGGAGCTGGTGGTCTTGTAGCGGAGACGATAGGATAGGAAACGTATATTACATATCTAACTATTTATTTATTTTTAACTTTTTTCTTTTTTTTTTTTTTTTTTTTTTTTTTTATCCTCACCCGAGGATATTTTTCCATTTTTCGTACAGATAGAGTGGGAGGGAGAGAGAGGAAGAGAGAGAGAGAGAGAAACATCGATGTGAAGGGACACATCGAGTGGCTGCCACCCGCACGACCAACCAGGGCCGGGGACAAACTGCAACCGAAGTACGTGCCCTTAGCGGGAACTGAACCCGGGTCTCTCCGGACCGCAGGCCGACGCTCTAACCGCTGAGCCAAACCGGCCAGGGCTAACTTTTTTCTTTATAGATTTTTAGAAAGAGGAAGAGAAAGGGAGAGAGATAGAAACATCGATGAGAGAGAACATCAATTGGCCACCTCCTACATGCCCCCCACTGGGGATTGGGCCCAGAACCTGGCCATGTGCCCTGACCGCGAATCAAACTGGAGACCTCTTGGTGCGTGGATCAATGCTCACCCACTGAGCCACACTGGCTGGGCCACATCTAACTACTTTTTTCTTCTTTTTTTGTTTTATCCTCACCCGAGGACATTTTTCTACTTTTGTTCAGATAGAGTGGGAGGGAGAGAGAGGAAGAGAGAGAAACAGACAGAGAAACATCAACGTGAAAAGGACACATCAAGTGGTTGCCTCCCGCACAACCCCAACCATGGCGGGGGACGAGGTATGTGCCCTTGACTGGAATCAAACTCACGACACATTGGTCTGTGGGCCGATGCTCTAACTGCTGAGCCAAACCAGCCAGGGATACAATTACATTTTTATAGTGCAGCATGACAAGTGCCAGGGTAGAGGCCCATTTGTCCTGGGCTGTGTGTATATGGTGGGTGTTTGAATTTCTGGCCCACCTCAGCAGGTGCAGCAGGTGGGGATACACTGGGGACCTTTCAGGGACAGTTCCAGGCAGGCAGATCCTTAACCAACCTTTAAGGCATGCAGGAAGATTGTCACATACACCCTCATTTGCAGGTTGACTGGCCACATTTTGTAGCTGAGGGACCTTGGACAAGTCCTCAAAGCATTTGTTTCACCTCCCACTTTTGGGAGGGCAGACAAGTTTCATGGTCATTAAGAATATACTCAAAGCTACCTCACATGCCCCTGCACCAGAAGGAGCCAGCCAGCCAAGACCCAAGGTGGTACAACAGGAATATTTATTATCCTTTATGTATATTTAAAAGTCTTAGTTAATATTTCTGAACTGTTGTTGTTTGAGCAAGGTAGCCTGGGTGTGAGTCCTGGTCCTGCCACGTGTTACCTATGTGAATTTAGATGAGTAACTTTCCCCCTCTGTGCCTTGGTTTCCTCATCTATAAAGTGGGTTTTAATGGGATGAACCTCAGAACATCATTAAAGGTGTTTATTTATGTATTGCTTAGAAAGGTGCCTACCACATAGTAAGTGTGATATAAGCATTCTTTAAGATTGTGATTATGATTATGATGACCATTTTTGGTGCATTCTGGGCTAGGAACTACGCATCGAACGCTCTCCATTAACACTGGGAAACCTGCTGTTATCTATCTACCTGACAGAAACTGCAGACTGGTAGCCCCCTGGGCTGAAGGCAGGTTTCAGCTGTTTTAGTTGGTCTCGAGCACATTTTCCAGAACATTTCAAAAGTCCATATAAATATCTAGCTTCGTGGTCCCCCTCGCTGTACCTTCCTGTGTGGTACAGTGGGGTGGAAGGTAAGCCGCAGCTACCCATGGGCACCCGTGCCCTCCAGGCCCCAGACTGTTACTGCCAGGACTCTTGCAGCCACTGCCTCGGGACAACGGGATACTTAGGATAGTTCAGAATAGGTTTTTATCAGCATGGTTCCCTTTTATAGACAAGCACACAGGCTCAGAGAGACTGAGGCACTCAGCCAAGGTCCCACAGCTGCATAACAGGCAGAAGTGGGCTCGGAACCCAGATTTGGATGCCACACCCTCAGGGTTTCACAGGTGTCCCCACTTATGTCCATCCAGGTTTCGAGTTCTTTGAGGCCAGCGCCAAGGAGAACATCAACGTGAAGCAGGTCTTCGAGCGCCTGGTGGACATCATCTGTGAGAAGATGAATGAGTCCCTGGAACCGAGCTCCAGCCCAGGCAGCAATGGAAAAGGCCCGACCGTGGGGGATGCTCCACCTCCCCAGGCTAGCAGCTGTAGCTGCTAGAGATGGTCCCTAACCCCCGCCCACCCCCTCCTGCCTTGGCAGGGAATGTGACTGAGGCATGAGCCACAAGGGCTGTTTCCAAGCTCAGGGCACCCCCTTCCCTCCTGTCAGCTATCAGCTGCCCCTCATTCCCCGCATGGATCATTTTCTCGCCACAGCTGCCAGCCTGCCCAAGCAGCCCCTGTCACAAGCTCCAGAACCTGGGGACTCTGCATTAGAGGCAGGGTCTGGGGACATGCAGGAGCTTGCTGCTTTTCAGGTGTTTTAGTGGGGGCACATGGGCAGGCTGTGGGCCTTCCACCGTGCCTTCTGGGTTAGAGCCGTTGTCCACATCCATTCTGTGTTTGGCATTGTCTGGAGTTCATGAGTTGGCTGAAGATGGTGTGCCTTCTTCCTCATTCCATGTGGGTTCTCAGAGTTCATCCTTGGAGATGTGGAAGGCGGCTCCTTGCTCAGGGCCCCCTGCTCTGATCCCGAGCCTGCCTATAAATCTCTGATCTCAAGGCTCCAAAGTGGGGAGGTGACTTTAACCCTGAAAGACCCCTCCCTTCTGGCCTGCAGATCCTCTGTCTGTGAAAACAGTATTAAAGCAGCTTTACCTGTTGTGAAGGGATAGGGAGTCAGAGCCCCCCTTGGTTTTGGGGACCCCAGAAGTGCCTTCTGAGTTTCCCCAGAATTCCACATCACCACGACCCTGCCACTGTTTTGCTTATGCATGGTGTCCCTGACCCAGGATTGAATTCTGGAATTATGCACTGTGTTATGCCAGGCAGAGAATCGCCTAGCTCCTGGCCTGCCTTCTCGGGGCTTTTTGCCAGGAATTAACCTCAGAGGCAGGAGCTCCCGCCCTCCTGCGCAAACCTGCCTTCTAGGGCCCATTTGGCTGGAGATGTTTTAGCAAGGTCTTTCCACATCTTGCATCCTGTTAGAGAAGGAAATTGAGCAATGTTCCCATAGCCTGCCCTTGCTGGTGACTTTCTGATGTAAGGCCTTGGGGTCCTTTCACTTGAGGACCGGGGAAGACCCAGTGTCTGTTTCCTGAGCCATATATATCATCGGTGGGGCCCAGAGATGGGATGTTTTTTGCTAATAGAGGTATCACTAAGGAATGTTTTTGGTTCAGGCTGGAGGAGTGAGAGGCACTGCTACCTGCCACTTGCACTTCATAATATAGCTTAGGAATGGCAGGCTGATGGGGGTGGGCTGGGATCGGTCTCCCTGGTTGAGGCTTGGGTTCCCAGTTGCCTGGGGCTCCTGCTGGGAGGTTATGTGCAGTTTGGGGATCTACCATCTTCACACACTCCCTGCACAGCTCAGTGGCCTTCTTGCCTGCCAAAGGCCAAGCTCCAGTACCATGACACCTTCCTGCTCTGGAACAGTAACTGACACCCCAGAACTTGACAGACCCTGTGAGGACAGCCTAAACAGATAGTTTGTGTTCCCAGTTCTGCTCTCCCACCCCCGACGGGCAAAATGACCTATAACCTTAAAGATCTCAGACTCCTCCTTTGGTTTATGGGGAAGGCCTGGTTCAAGTTTAACATAGTTCTTGCCTTTATGGAAACTCTAGATTAAATCTATTTCTAGAGGGTGCTGTTTACCCTATACCAGGGTCTGCCCTTTGAGTTTCCAAGTGAGGATATCTTTGTACTCCAAGTTAAATGACTGGCGAAATGGATGAGTTCCTGGAAACACAAATTAATCTGAATGCTTGGGGGAGGGGAGGGGTCAGAAATGTTGCTTTAACATAAAAATGAAATTAAATTAGCTTAAAGTCTCCTTAATACGTGCCACGACCTGTCAAGAGGCTGTTGGCCAGTCCATTTTCCCTAAACCGCTGCCAGAAAAAATGATGGGTCAGAGAGCTGTTATCTGAGGGACAAGCCTATTGTCACGGCCGTGTGATAAAAACAGCTTTGGCTGTATCTCGTACCTGAGTAGGCCTAAGCTTTCTTTCTTTTTTTTTTTTTAATCCTCATTCGAGGACATTTTTCCATTTTTTGTACAGACAGAGTGGGAGGGAGAGAGAGGAAGAGAGAGAGAGGGAAACATCGATGTGAAAGGGACACATCGAGTGGCTGCCACCCGCACGACCAACCAGGGCTGGGGACAAACTGCAACCGAGGTACATGCCCTTAGCGGGAACCGAACCCGGGTCTTTCCGGACCGCAGGCGGACGCTCTAACCGCTGAGCCAAACCGGCCAGGGCAAAGCTTTCTGTTTACACAAGATTTTTCAGTAGTTCAGCTTCAAGCAGCAACTGAGACAGCTGGCTCTGGGTTCTCTCAAGACTGGGAATAATGTAGGAGAAGAATGTATTTTTGTTTTTTTCTAAAAATAATGCATGTTTTTATTTTATGATGTATGGGGGTAGATTTAGTTCAAGATGGTCTCTGGGGAACAGAAACTAATGTCCTCCCAGATCACTGAGGGAAGGGAGGTTTGTTGAGTTTACAAACAAAATTAAACCAAAGGCTGTGGGAAAACCACCTTCCAACCCCAGGGAAACTGGAGCCATCGCCTGAGGCTAGGTGCTGTCCCTTCTCACCACTTGCTTTTAGCAACTTGTCTTTCCACAGACAGTTCGGTGGGAAATTGCCATGATCGCTGTGGTTTAGGGTTCTGCTTTCTTTTCTCTGTGTGTGTGTGGGGAGGGGGGGCTCTCTGGGCATCATATCCTTGTGTCCTACTCAACTTAGAAAAACAAGTAAAGGCCCTGGCCATTTTGGCACAGCAGTTAGAGCTTTGGCCCGCAGACCAGAGAGTCCTGGGTTCGGTTCCTGCTAAGGGCGCGTACTTTGGTTGCAGTTTGCCCCCGGCCCCAGTTGGGGTCGTGTGGGTGGCAACTACTTGATGTGTCTCTCTCATGTTGATGTTTCTCTCTCTCTTTTCCTCCCTTTCTCCCTCCATCTCTGTATGAAGATAAATGCAAAATGTCCTCCGGTGAGGATAAAAAAAAACAAACAAGGGTGAAATTTGGACTCAGTATTGAAGCGCTAATTCCTCTAGCTGGCTTCTCCCCCACAATCCCAAAACACTAAGGCGCGAGCTGTCAGCCGTTTGGTTTCTGTCCTTGATGTGGTTCTCTGGCATAAGCAGTTCTTTGATGTCCATTGGAAAGACTTACACTTTTATCCACAAGAAAAAAATAATTAAAGCCATTGTGCCCAGATGCAGTTCTTTTTTATTTCCATTAGTGAAATGCGATTTCCAGGAAGAGGGCAGTTGAATCACAGTCAAACAGATGGTTGAGGGCCACGTGTGATGCAGCAGATCCTGGATTAGGCCAGGGAGGCTCAGGCCTGGGGCTGTGTCTAACTGGAACTCATGGCCACCGCTTGGCCCTGGGAAGTTCCTCTGTGTGGAGGGCAGGGAGGATGGTGTTGCCATAACTAATTCTACTAGGAAGGTCTGTCCTCCCCCACAGCAGCCAGAGGACGCTGTGAGCACCCAAGTCTGGTCACATTCCTCTCCTCAGAACCCTCCATGGCTCCCACCTGACAGGGAGTAAATGCCAAAGTTCTCTCTGTGGCCTACAAGTACCACATGATCTGACCTGTCACTTCCCTTCCCTCAACTCTTTCCACTTGCTCTCTACATTTGCTTTATTCCAGTCACATTGGCCTCCTTGCTGCTATTTGAACACACCTGCCTCAGGGCCTTTGCATTGACTTTCCTGTGCCTGGAACCCTCTTATCCCAGGTAGCTCGCAGGTAGTTCCTCACTCATTTCCTCTTTCAGGGCTTTCCATAAATTCCACCTCGTTGCTTCCTTCCTTAATACTTTAGTACTGCAACCCCTCTCCCAGCATTTCTGTCTCTTCCTATGTCCTCTTTCCCATAGCCCCTAGAATATAAAACACTATCATTTAGTCATTTAAATTAAACAAGTGTCTCCTTCAATGTAGTGTCAGCTCCTCAAATGCAGGGATTTAAAAATATTTTACCACCACACCCAGCTCTGTTCCTATCTGATACAATAAAAAGGAACTATTTAGTGTTTGTTCCTGGTTCCTGGCACAGAACTCTTAAAATCCATGTTATCTCTGGAGTGCTAAGTGTCTTTTGTATGCTAATAAGACTTGGGGTGGGGAGGGCAGCTTCAAGATGGGAGTTGGTCTCCAGAAAGACCAAACCAAGATTAGAGTGTTGGCACTGTCTGCTCCCAGACCTCAGGGGTCACCAATGGCCAGTGATTTAATCAATTATGCCTATGTAATGAAAGCTCCCTGAAAACCCGAAACTAGGGAAGAGCTTCTGGGTTGGTGAACACATTGAGGTGCTGGAGGGTGGTGTGCCCAGAGAAGGCATGGAAATTCTACAGCCCTTCCCCGTGCCTTGTCCTGTGCATCTCCTTCATCCGACTGTTCTTGAGTTGTATCCTTTATAATAAACATAATAGCAGGTAAAGTGCTTTCCTGAGTTCTGTGAGTCATTGTAGTTATCAAACCTGAAATGGAAGGAGGAGGATGGGAACCCTTGGACTTTGTAGCCAACTCAGACAAGTGAGTCTCACCTAGGGACCTAATACTTGCCACTGACATCTGAAATGGGGACTGAATCCTTAAACCTGTGGCTTCTGATGTGGACTTGGAGTAGTTAGTGTAAAAATTGCATTGAATTGTAGGACACCCCATTGGTGCCTGCAGAGGCTTGCTTGATACAGAAAATCCCCATGTATTTGGTGTCAGAAGTGTGAGTAAAAAGTTTATATCTGACATTCTGCGGGAACTGGATAGATGTTTGTTCATTGAATGAATGAACTGCAGAGACCAAGAGTGAGCTAGGCCCATGGGGACTTGTAAATGGTACAAGGATTCTCATCCCGGCTTTCTGTGCCTTCTCTGCAGCCTCTCACCCCATGTAGTGGCCCCTTCTGAACCAGGTGAGTTGTGGAGTGCGTGTGGGGTGGTGGAAGCTGCTCTCTCCTGGTCACCCTAGTTAACTTTCCAAAACCAGGTCCCTTAGCCACTTGGGTCCCAGCCCATGCCTGAACCAATGACAGGTCAGACAGATGAAATGTGCCGATTGACTAGCTAGGAGTACATGCCCACCCCTAGCTTAGGGACAGAAATCTGAGAGGTGGGCTGGTTCCAAAGAAAGCTAGGTGTGTTTTCCGGAAGTGGGAGTTGAATGCAGCAATAGCAAATGTGACTGTGCCCATTTTATTATCTTTTTCAATACTCCCCAAAAGAAAGATGGAAAAATTAAATAAATTACCATTTGCAATCCCCAATGAAAGAATTAATTCAGTCTGCTGTGGTCACTGGATGAAGTCCTTGTTTTATTGATTCTCAGCCATGACCATGGCCACCCCTTAGAATCACCTGGGTAAATGTACTAAGTTCTCATGACTAGGACACAAACCAGCTCAAACTGGTCCTAACCTGTTTCTAATGTCAACTGATGGTTGTTGGTGACAATTCAACACTAACAGGAATCTCTAATTTGGGGTGCAGTGAAGAAAAAAACTTTATTCAGTGCAAACCAGCTCAATTATGATACAACACAACTGTGAAAACAGCAAGGCTGTGGGGCAGCCCTGGGGCCAGGCCACTCTTTGGCTACACACTCTGCTCCTGGCTTCTCTGCATCGGTCTGCTCTGCCATGGTCTGCTTGGTGCTGCACTAGGTGCCCCACTGCACTCTGGCCTGTGCTAACCCCCCCTCCCCCTCCCCCTCCCCCCTCCCTCCCTCCCTCCCTCTCTCCCTTCCTTCCTCTCTCTCCTCACCCAAGGACATTTTCCCACTTTTTGTTCAGATAGAGTAGGAGGGAGAGGGAGAGAGAGAAACATCGACGTGAAAGGGACACATTGAGTGGCTGCCACCCACACGACCAACCAGGGCCAGGGACAAACTGCAACCGAGGTACATGCCCTTAGCAGGAACCGAACCTGGGTCTCTTCGGACCGCAGGCTGACGTCCTAAACGCTGAGCCAAACCAGCTAGGGCTGCTCTGCTCCTTTCACTCTCAGGTAGAAAGGAAAGTGTGCTCCCAGAGCTGGAGGGGAGCTGGCTTATATAGACAGAAGTCCAGTCTCTGATTGGTGTGCCCTCGGGTAAATAAGGACTCCAAATCCTCTAAGTTTGATTGATACAGAAAGGATTGTCCTGATTGGTCAGAATAGAGCTGCTCTGGTTGGTCGAAGCTGTGCAGCTTCAATTGGATGGGGAAAGTCTAAGTCTTATTGACTGAAAGAAGATTCCAAGAACTCTATAAGGGCTGGCGCAAATGTCAGAAGCACAGTGCAGACAGGCAGTTCGGTGCAGAGGCAGGTAGTACAGTGCAGGCTTCTCCCTGAAATACAATTTTTGTGAGGCCCCTGTGTAAAAATAGCTGTTAGACTGTTATTATTATTATTTTTATCCTCACTCAAGGACATTTTTCCATTTTTGTTCAGATAGAGTGGGAGGGAGGGAGAGAGAGAGAAACATCGACATGAAATGGACACATTGAGTGGTTGCCTCCCATATGACCCCAACCAGGGCTGGGGACAAACCACAACCAAGGTACCTGCCCTTAGCGGGAACCCAACCTGGATCTCTCTGGACTACGGGCTGACGCTCTAACTGCTGAGCCAAACCAACCAGGGCTATTATTTTTAATAAATATGTTTTTATTGATTAGAGATAGAGAGGAAGGGGGGGAGAGAGAGAGAGAGAGAGACATCCATCCATCCATCCATCCATCCATCCATTGGCTGCCTCCTGCATGCCCCCTACTGGGCCTCAAGCCAGCAACTTGGCATGTGCCCTGACCAATAATCAAACCAGCAACATTTTTGTGCCCAAGATGATGCCCAACCAACTGAGCTACACCGGCCAGGGTGAGATTTCATTCTTTTTCATGGCTGAATAGTATTCCATTGTATATATGTGGGTTTTGTGTTTTTTTTTATCCTCACCTGAGGATATTTCCATTTTTTTGTTTAGATAGAGTGGGAGGAAGAGAGAGGAAGAGAGAGAGAGAGA